TTTCTGTATATGTGGATGTTAGTGTGTGGGGGCACGATTTTGTTAACTCTATTTGAAGCTTAACAACTCTTGCGCTTTTTGTCGAAAATTTCTGAAATTTTGCAGGGAGATTTGTGTATTAGGGACATTGATACCATTGAATTTTGGTGGTTAAAGGTTGCCGGAGTGGGGAGATAAAGAGGGTCGTCTATCATGTCTCGAGTAGGTCAGTTTTAATGACGATTTTACTCGTTATTACCATTTACAGTTTTTTTTTTTATAAAATCCATCACTACTCTGAAAATTAAGCCTTTTTCCATTTTATAACAATAAAAATATAAAGAAAAATTTTAATAAAATATTTTAACAGGTGGCGCTATATGCAGTTTTAAATGTTGCGGGAAAGTTAAGCAATTCGTTGCTGGATTTTTTACTTGGAAACTTAAGATTCTAAACGACGTTTCAAGCAGCCAAACCAAAATACAACACGGAAATCGTTGATTGTCTTCACTCTACTGTGATGATTCACCTAGATCAACTGCATCATTCACAGATTCAAACTGCGTTATGTTTCGCTGCAAGGAACCTGTTTCTCCAAACGAGTCCCCTTACGTGTTGAATTTAAAGCTTTCCAATCACAACTACTATCTTTTAAGTAGATTCACATTTTAGATGAAAACTTTTATGATGTTAAAAATACAAAAATCACTAATGCAATGTTGTTTTCAATAAGTATAGGAAACAAAATCTCTTATTACAGAACCCCTGGATGTGTACAAAATACAACAGTATGACAGGAACGCATGTCTGGAAGCTAGTCCTGTCAACGAGTCAACCAGAGAAGCCCTGAGGAGTATTCAGGTAAGATCGTGAAAAAGTTGAACTTAGCGTAAAGGAGGGGTGACCGGATGGGAAAAATACACGAAAAAATACATATTTTTCAAGTGAAAGGTTTCAAATACCTTGCAGGGAGGTTTTGTCTAAATATTATACATTATATAATATTTAGACGGAACTTCAAGGAATTTAAAGACACAGTCCAGTGGTCGAAGGGGTGGGGAGATAGTGGGAAGTCGTGTGTCATATCTCTAGAGCGATATAACTTAATGAAGATTTTATTAACATTTACAAATTTTTTTTATAATACTCATCCCTATTCTCGAAAATAGGCCAGATGGCCCAGCATTTAAGGTGGCAGTCTACTGACCGGGGATCAAATCTGGACTGGGTCGAAAATCCCCAAGAATTTTTCGGGGTGGTCCGTCCGGATATGTCGGACTCGTCCATCACTATCGCAGCCCCCTCATTGTGGGTCTAGCCAAACCAATAATGGCCTTGCTAAAAGAGGCACTCTAAGTGCCCGCAGGGTGAAAAAAAAGTGAAAAAAATTCCTCAAAATTAAGCTTTTTGCCATTTTTAAAATCATATAGTAATTAAAAATAAAAATAAAAATTTCTAACAAAATCTCGTAACGGATGGCGCCACACACAATTTTATTATTATGCTTAATATTATAGAAGTTATTTTTTAAAGTAAAATATAGCAGCCGGAAGAGTTACTCAACTTGTTGCTGAATTTATTTTAATTAGTTATATAAAGAATTATACAATAATTGCATAAACAAAGAAATCACTTTTTCTCACTAAACTCTTTAATGATATGTATTCATGCATTTATTGAGATTATGCTTTCTCTTAAATTACTTAAATAAATAAAAAAAATTAATGCATACTTAAGCTTATATTATTCAAAGTTTCTTCAGGTTACAGTTAACACAAAAATGTAAATGTTCTGCGTCTAGATTTCTGCACAGGATTAAGATGGAGCTATTTATATATTCCAAGAAATACTAACTTGTAAGTAAACATCATAACACAGTAGACCCCCCCTATAACACGGTAGGTACGTTCCGTGTTTTATAAAATTCATGTTGTACGAGTCCTTAAATACATGAGTCAATACAGCCCGGCACGTATGCAGTTTACGTACTACGGCTGTTTGAAAGGTTTTCTTCCATAAAATTAATCTAGATTCTAGACTAATTTGACTCAACATTTCCAAAACACGTATAATCTTTTGGTAATAGTCCATATAAACTATGCTATAAACAAAAAATTGTAGTATTAATTACCGAGTATGCACCGTTCGACGACGCCATTGCTTCAGCTTGTTTTCGTCGTGGAGTGGAACATCGAACGGTGGGCGCGTATTTCCCGATAAATTATTTTTCTACGAAAAATTTGCTGAACTTTGGCGACATCATTAATATAAATATAATTTTTATGGCCGTTAAATAATAAATGGTTTTTAGTAGGTCCGCTGCTCGTTTAGATTCATCGGTTTGTGCAATATCCGCTATTGGTCTAGATTCGACCAATCCTGTCACGACACGAGTCGTAGACAACGTTTTACCGTATTTTACGAGTTTCTTTTAGCGTGTTTATACGAATACGGTCGCAATTTTTTCGCCGTTATATACTAATCCATATTACATGAACCCATTTTATAGGGGTCTACTGTAGATTTGTTTCAGTATACAGTAGACCCCTATAAAACGGGTTCATAATATTATATAAAACCTATATAATATATGTAGCGCAATAAGTATTTATGAATCTAAACATAAAGAAGATACAGTAAAATAGGCTATTTCGTGTTTTGATGTTTAAGAAGGCATGAAATTTCACACGTGCAGTCTACATTGTTTACAAAATGGTTGAGAACAGCTGGTGTGAACTTTCGGGGAGGGATCGTTTACATGTATGCCTCAAGGGAAGATCAGTTTAAAGCAAGAGGGGAACTAATTTATCACATATATTCAAATATAACACAAATTTTTTTTATTTTTTATGATATTGAAATACGGTGTCCGAAAAAAGGTATATATAAAAAAATTCTCCTGAATAAAAAGAAAAAAAACCTGATAATGTCTCTGAAAAATCCAATAGCGTTTTAAAAATTTTTACCAATGTCAAATCGGTTCAATAGAAGTTTAGAACGATTTAATTAATTTGATTTAAAAAACTCCCATAAAAACAACAGCGCAATTAATTAGCTAATTAATAAAACGTTATAAAAAATTTCGCGCCAAAAATAATTCGAAAAATCGTACTGGTCCATATGTATATGTATATTATAAATTCTGTGAAAAATATCTGGATGAAAAAATAAAACATCTAAATTCATTAGGCCACATGCTATAAATTTTGGGGAAAAACATCTACTGTAAACATTAAAAGTACAGTACTTAGATATACTCTTAGATACAAAATATTTAGATTAGCAACAGTGAGTGTAACAGTAGGGATATTTTAATCGTCGATTCGTTATTTTACCCGAGGATGCACTCTTTTTACTTCTTATATATTTGGCACTTCTAAAATTTTATCAAATAACCGAGACAAAATGACAAACTAGCCGGGACAGTCCCAATCAAAGCGGGACGCCTGATAAGTAGGGTTTCTCATTTCCCGGGAAATTTGCCTCCAGCGGGATTACGAGAAAAATAATTTCTTTTCCCGGGATTCCGGAAAATTCCGGGATGAGATAGTAAAATAGAATGTTATATGAATAAAAAAGATCATACAGGAATATAATAAATTTGAATAATTTAATTTATTTTCTAGTAAGTAACTAAAAGTGTAGTGCCAATCTCACCCATACGGACACGTTAGGCTCAATTAATTTATGTTCTCCTACATTATAAGATGAAAGTAAAATAAAGCGTTTCATTGGGATTTTTAATGATTACGAAAAAAATACTATTTTACTTCTAAAGATGAAATAAAAAATGAACTAAAGTGCGATGAGTGATATTTACTTTCAGCCAGTGTTCCGCTGTTCAATGATGCGCAAACACAATACATAGATATTACATGAACTAACAAGTAGAGACTTGTAAAACATAGGTAATAATATGCAGCATGAAACCTCAAAATTTCTCTCTTAGGTGAGTCTTCAAGATGTAACTTTTCGTATAATAAATAATAGAAAGAAAACCTGACATGATAAATTATTATTGAAATGCGAGATTTCCAGGGAAAATAAAATTTTCCGGGATTTTTCTGGTAGGGAATAAACGGCGAGAATCCCGGGAAAACAGGATCCCGGGATTCCGGGAAAGAAACCCTACTGATAAGCCTATCAGAAATAATCGAGAACCTTATTCTCTATTAGAATAGTATTATATAGTTTAAGCTTATAAAAAGCTTAAATTATATAATACTATTTATAATCCCTTATAAAAAGGGATTATAAATATAAATAGGCTGTACAGAAGCCACAGTAAGAGTCTAGAAGAATTAATAGACAGATTGCATATACCGACGGTGGCCAAACTCCTGGGCCACCGTGGGTATATGCAATCTGTCAATAAGTGACACAAAGCTATATTAAATATGCTTAAAATAGCTGAAAATTAAATTTTAATTCAATTTTAAAATAACTTCCAATTAAAATAATATAAAACCAAATTTTATATATGTTCCTTGGTTCAAAATAACTCTTCTTATTTTGATATTTCAGATTATCTTGTTCCAAACAGTAAGGCATTTGCTTACAGTAATAGAAAACATTCGACGTCCGGATGGCCGAACGCTCAAGGTGACAGCCTTCCGCTCTGGGGGACCCGGGTTCAGAATCCAAACGGATCAATAAATCACCAGGAATTTTTCGGCAAATGGTCCGTCCGGACATGTTGGTCTCCGTCCCTCACAACCCGATCGCCCTATTGTGGGCCTGGCCTTGCTAAAAAGAGGCCCTGTTAGTGCCCACAGGACGGAAAGAGTTTTAAAAAAAAACAGGGTGGAAAGAGTTAAAACAAAAAAAATCCAATCTATATAAATTAAACTGTATAGATATTTTAGCGTTTTATTTATATCAATATACTTTTATAGATTTTAAATATTAATATATCATAAAAAATCAAAAAGTCAATAATAACCAGCAAATTACTATTTTTACTTTTGGTTGGCAACACGAAAAACTGCTTTGAAATGTGAGTATGTAACTGACATTTTTGGAATTTTTATAATATAAAAATAAATCAATTTCTTGCATGATTTTGGAATATCGCGAAATTTTTAATTACAGTCAACATCAAAATGAAAGTTGGCGATTTTTTAAATATTGATTCAACTGGATCTTTAAAGAGAAAAAGCGTTTCTTCATCAGATCGACCGTTAAAGATGTTGAAGAGCGGCCATGAAAAAAATGCATTAATGATATTATACGAATTAAACATTAATGTACAATATACAGTGGAAAGTGAAGGACCAGATCATTGTCGCATATTTACCGTATCTCTTGAAATCGATAATCAAAAATTTTCCGGCCGAGGTAGTTCTAAACAAACGGCGAAACATATTGCTGCAGAGAAGGCATTAGCTGCAATTGGTTATGTTGGTAATTTGGTTAAATATTCTGAGAAAAGACACGAACATAACGTAATGAATACCGATGTAGGAGGAAAACACCCCGTTGAGCTACTAAACGAACTTCATTCGGATTTGAAATTTAATGTAATAAAAGAAAATAAGTCAGTTCTTTTGGCGAGGTTCACAATGAGTGTTGAAGTTTACGATGTTATATTTGAAGGCTCTGGTCAAACCAAAAAGTTAGCCAAAGCTGTAGCTGCGAGATCGGCTTTGCACACTTTGTATGGTATTAATTTTTTGAAAAATAATGTGAATCAGGTACCTTTACCTGAAAAATATTTACTCCCTCAATCAGTAGCAAGTGGAATATGTAGGGGTATTCACGAAACGTTTCAAAAAGTAATGGTCGACTATGAAGATTACAGAAACTGTAAAGTTCTAGCCGGAATTGCCATGACACGTGACGCAGAAATGCATAAAATAGAAATTATTGCCTTAAGCACTGGCACAAAATGCATTATTGGAAAAAATGTAAGTATGGATGGTAAATCTTTGAATGATTGTCATGCCGAAGTGCTTGTACGAAGATGTTTGAAATTTTTTCTGTATGGTCATTTAAAGTTGATAGCCACTGGACGGAAAAATGATTCAATCTTTACCGAATGTAAACAAACGGGTGGTTACCAACTCAAAGCCAACATAAAGTTTCATCTTTACGTTAGTGACCCACCTTGTGGTGATTCAAGAATATATTTGCCTGAGAAATTTAGTCGCAAATCTTTACATCGTACTGCTTGTGGAGTTTTAAGATCAAAAAATGAATTCAGAAACGAATCTTTACTTATTAAAGCTAATGATGGAAATCGAACAATAGAGTTAATGAAACAGCAGAAACAACAGTGTATAACAATGTCCTGTTCTGATAAAATTGCCTCGTGGAACGTTTTAGGCATTCAAGGTTCGCTTCTTAATTATTTCATACGACCGATATATCTGGAAAGTATTGTTTTTGGAAATGATGTTTATCCTGGATGTATATTTAGAGCTCTGTGGGGCCGTTTCGAAAAATCGCTTAAAATGTTGCCGGAACCGTATCATTTAAATAAACCTAAAATATGCTGTGTAAGAAATCCTGAAAACTGCGAGTTTGTAGAACATCCAGATTTCAGTGTTACTTGGTCGGTCGGATTTAAAAGCCCTGAAATAGTTAATTCAACAACAGGAAAATTAGAAAATGGAAAGATTTCGAGTTTAAGTAAGAAAGCATGTTTTCGTCGATTTAATAAATTATACAACAACATTCCAATTGCTGCTAAACGGCAGTTGAATAGAAAACCAAAGTCGTATTCGGAAGCAAAACAATCTGCCTTGAATTATCAAGCAGCTAAAAGCGACTTGAAAGAAGCATTTGAAAATGCAGGTTTAGGAGTTTGGATGATGAAACCTTTACATCAAGATGATTTTGAATAATAAATTTAATTTTATCTTTATCTTTGTATTATGAATTCATCTTTATAAATGTTGTCATTTACCTTTATAACAGTTAGAAAAATACAAATTTACTGTATTAATGTTAACTTTAAATGCACATTTTATTATTTTTAAAAATGTGTTCTTGAATGCCTTGTCAATGGCATTAAAGTTTTGATAGATTACCAATTAACTTTTATATAAAACTATATCTGGCGTTACAATTATATATGAAATGTAAAAGCGAATTTGTTTATATAAATTAAGCAAAAAGTTTTGGTAGAAATCCAAGTATGACATTTGTTACTTTTGTTATTTTCTTTGTTTTTTTGAAATTTGCATTTTGAAATTGAATTTACAAAATAAAGTTGTTCAAAATATTTTACTTGTCATATTATTTATAAATATCTATCTTTGTGACACCCGTTATATAATTTCCTCGGAACTAATACAGATGCACTCCAATAGCGTGCGGTGACATTTGATCATAGGGAAGCTCTGCTTCCATAAAAACGATAAACAAATACTGGAAATGACAAAAATAAACAGTTTATTTATTTAATTCGAAAATAGATAATTGACACGAAACAATAAATTAGAATAAGAATTGTTTTTATTATTTTTTATAAACTATATTCGGAAATTTTTTCCGCAAAGTCGTTAATTACGGTACTTTATCATAAAAATCGGTTGTCGTTGATTCCATCAAAGTATTTAAAAGCTCTTTTGCTATCGATGACAACAATCTTTCCTCTGACCTTGACTCCGAATGTTCCTTGCCAATGTATCAATTCGCTTCATGGTGGAAAAACTGCACTCAATAGATGCACTTGCAGATGATACCGTAAAAATTAATGATATTAAATCATGTAATTCTTTTATTGCATCTTTGTTCAGATCGTCATTAATTATAATATTTTTTATGTCTAAGAATGACTTGCCAATATAGTCTGGACACGAATATAAATATTGCAATTCGCTACGTAATTTAGATAAATCAAAAAATTCTCCATAAAATTTACTTAAAAAATTAAAACTCGCTACGGAAAATCGTTTTTCATAATATTTAAAATTATTAACATCTAAAAGTGATAAAAATTGTAAAGATTTTACGTCTGAAAATCTGTCAATATAATTATAATTATAAGAAAGTTATAATTAGATATAGCTTTGTATAGAAACGTACTGTACATAAAAATAACATAAAATCTTTATTTTTTAAATCTTAAGACAATTCACTTAGTCAAAATAGCTCCCTACCACTGGCTAATGGATAGAATCGTTGAAAGCGTTATACGATATTTTGGTGTGTAGCATCCACCAGCTAAACCACGAGAGATTGGTGCTATATAAAGCGCATCCGGAAATGCGTGCGCTTTACACCATTCAGATATTTTCGCCGAGCAAGCTGTCCCGTATTCGACAATACAGCGCTTCCATTGGGAATATCCATATATGAATTTATATTCGATACAATATCAATCTTGTCATTGTTTTTCACATGTATAGTAATTTGTAATAAAATACATAACGCGGTTATAATAACGTACTTTGAATTAATTAAATTTAATATTTTAAAATATGAAAATAATCGCACAATGCGTATTTATATTTTAGAAAATACAAGGAAAGAGGTGCTTCCGCAGCTTCCACGGACGGCAAGCCACTGATTCACTCCTCGAAAGTGAAATCGCAATATCACGAAGGAATGCGTGTCGCCAGATGCAAATTGTAGGACCGGTAGCGGAGATATGCAAATGATTAAGTTTGCGTAATCATCGGTCTAGTTTGGTTTGTTTAGTTTAGTAATGGCAATGCAACACTTGGGCGATCTGCCTAGGAGGGATGCCTTTCGGGAGGTCTTTTTAAGGGAAACTGGCTACTATTTAGGCATTACATACATGGAGAAAACCCAGAAAACTCCACGTGGCCAGCCCGTCCGAGCAAAGCGCGAACCCACGACCAAACTCCCAGTGTTCAGGGAACGAAGACCGCTTGACCACTGGTGGGCCGTCTAAACATCGAATCATGTGGTATCCAGTTTCGGGCTGTAAAGGCCAGCAGCAGGCTAGGATCGTAAATACTTTTAGCGACGACAATTCCTGGCAACCGAACTGTCGAAAAAGGATAGAAAATGCCTCGGAGATGACAGCGAGCCGAATACCACCAGTTAACAGCAGGGGAACGAGACCATATTCTGCAGCTGTACGTCCTCAGTTTGTCCACGCTCGCAGTTGCCACGCGTGTGGGGCATGACGTGAGTACCATCCAGCGACGAGTGACACGAGAGATGCAAGAACATCCGCGAACAAGCCGAAGAGGGACTAGATCACACCGGCGCATGACAGTGCACAGACTGGCAGATTCGCCAAACGGCACGAGAACGAGACATCCGAATCTGCCTGTCGCAGTCAACGAGTGCATCTGTGTCCACCTAAACCAGGGCTGCCCAATTCATTTTGGAGGCGGGCTATAATTTCAATTACATGTCAGCCGGCGGGACACCTAGTGAATCGTACTTGCTTACACTCAGATTCTTCTATAAATGGATAGGTATTTGAATCAAATAAAGCTTTAAGTTGCACATGTTTTAATAATACCTAATAAAAAATACATCAATGAGACCTATGAAGGGGCTTATTAGCTAATAATTTTTCATTTAGAGACAACAATTTAATTTTAATACAAAAAAGTCGACTCAAAACTAATAGAACAAGTGTAATGAACGCGTAGGTTAGGTATTAACAGCGGTGTGGCGGTGACTCAAGTCATAGCTCATTCCGCGCTCGACCAATCACGTGGGGTTTGGCATTATTGGTAGCACGACATCGTGCATGGTGACAGCCGACCGCTACTGCGGACGGGCAAATTCAAATGCGCTGGCGGGCCTGGGTTTGGGCAGCCTTGACCTAAACCAGGGGTCGGCAACCTTTTAAGTCGGAAGAGCCAAAAATTACAATTTACAAAATTTCAAAGTTTTTAAAGAGCCACAAAATTTTTTCTTGCCAACAATAAATAGTACTCGCATAAATAAAGTTTTTTGATTAAAAAAACTAATCTATTTATTCATATATAAATAGTGTTTATCACAACAAATTAGATAATATATATATGGCATTATTAGATAATTACTTATTATTTAAGTAAATTATTACTACAATTAAACATTTACTTACAACACTAACTTGTATTTCAATAACAAACAATTGAGCAAACAAATTCAATGGGAGCGTTTGCTTTGCATGGTTTTAGAAAGTTTGGATAAATTTGGCTCATAACTTGTTGTTTTAAGTTTCAAACACGACTCTAAATTTTCATTTGTTAGTTGGCTTCTTACTTTACNCATTTGTCCTCCAGCACGTGTGAAAAAACGTAAAAATAAAAAATAATTATTACTTGCTTGTCCTGAATGCTGATGAATGTCTCTGGCACTGTTAGTCTTCCGGACTTCGATGAAGAGCAGCTGATGTAGTTGGATTAGCTTCGGAACGAGAAATCACATTCGGGTCACCAATGTGGTGTTCGTCGCACCACTGTTTATGTGTTCGCTGAGAATATATATAGAACCTGTAGTCATATATGTCATCGTTCGCTTTATTCACATTATGTACATAGAAATCTTGTTCTACACTATCAGTACGGTTGGTTAGGATTTACATGTTGGTACGTGAGAGTAACCCCGTCCAGAGAGTAGTTGACAAGTCAGGAAAAGAAAAAAGAATATGGCGGATGGCCTGCACATGTTTATATATCCGTCGCACCAGTGCCACCTGGATTTTCAGATGTAGCGCTAGTTACAATTATTCGGCTGCCACACCTACCTTTACTTCGTTTTTTTATTATTATTATATATATGTACAGTACATACATAACTTTCAGAAGATAATTCGCTTCTAACTCTTTTACTCGAAACAACAAACTATACGTCACAGCCAAAGCACTGGTGAAGACGCCAAATTGTCTTGCGTCGAAAGCGAATTAAACCTCATAGAAACATCCCACGACGGCGTCATTCGAGAACTTCTGACGGACTGACGACAGTGACGATGCGTGTCACGGGGGAAGGGTGCGGTGAAAAGCGAGTACAAGTGGCTGAGAGATAGAATCGGTGCCTAATCCTCGTTAATCGATTTAGAGCGATTTTTAAATGTTTTTTTTTTTGATAAAATAAATAATATTTGCGTATGGAACTAAAGAGCCGCAGCTTCACATCCAAAGAGCCGCATGTGGCTCGCGAGCCGCAGGTTGCCGACCCCTGACCTAAACCATTGGTAACAGGTTACATGAGGTTGGGATGCACGAATGGCAACCAGCAACTGGGGCGCTATTAATTAATTATTAACCACTCGACACAGGACTGCATGCCTGTCGTAGTGTCGTTGTCAGAACTGGACCACTGAATGACATCGAGTATTGTTACGAATGAATACCGCTTCTGTTTGGGAGGAATGGCAGGAAACATTAGCCCTGCCAGAGTCACACCGGCCCCACACCGGACATTGTCTGAGGAGACATTGTGTTTGCAACCCTGGTGCACATTTCCATTACTCCGTTAGCGGATCAGTACTTCAGAGTAATTGTGGGGCCTATGGTTCGACCACTGGTGGGAACACCATTTCGGGTGCGTCCTGCAAGATAATGCTTGATTGCACGTCGCATGGCGAACTCTCACCAGCCTAGACGGAATTCGCATCCTTCTTTCGCCGGATCGAACACCTGTGGGTCCTCATCCGACGTCAGGTGCACCAGGGACCACCTTACACATACCTTAGATGACATGCGCGCCGCAGTGGACGGAGCTTGGCTCAGGCGACCATTAATCGTTTCATCGATAGTATGCCTCGCCGTATAGCTGCCAGATTTCTTTATTTTTTCTGTCATAACTAGGTGCATAGACACTGGGCATCTTTGACATCACTCTTTATTCAGGCATATCTTGTGGGCCGATACGCGTTTCGGGCATACACCCATTATTATTTTCTTAGTTATTTGCATATCTGTCACCTCTACCGGTCCTGCAATGTGCATGTGGCTTTGCGCATTCTTTCGTGGTATTCCGATTTCACTTTTGAGGTATATAAAAATTTTTAAAGCTCAGTAATAATTTACAGTAGAGCATCGATTATACGAAAATCATTAACCGAAATCGACTTTAGAGAGTAGGTCTACTAATTCCAGAAATTACAAAGTTGTTACGTAATAACAAATGTCGATCTTCTGTAGGCCCAGTATTCAACTACCTCGTTACCAACACTAATGTTGGGTTTTATTTATTACAGTGCAAATAGAAAAACATGATTAATTTAATGAGTCTGTTTGTTATGGCAACGCAACACTTGGGCGATCTGCCTAGGAGGGATGCCTTCCGGGGATCTTTTTAAGGGAAACTGGCCCCTATTTAGGAGTTACAGACGTGGAGAAAACCCGAAAAACTCCACGTGGTCAGCCCGTCCGAGCGAGGCGCGAACCCACGACCGAACTCCCAGTGTTCAAGGTATGAAAACCGCTTGGCCACTGGTAGGCTTTGAGTCAGATTTCTACCCTTTCTAAATTCCTGCCTTAAATTTTTTTACTATAGTACTAGAATTAAGGTCTGCCAGTGACCAAGCGGTTCCGCTCCTCAATACTGATTGTGAGTTCGCACCTCGCCAGAACTGGCTGGCCATGTGGAATTTTCCGGGTTTTCTCCACGTCTGTAACTCCTGAATAGGGCCAGTTACCCTTAGAAAGACCTCCCGGAAGCATTCCTCCTAGGCAGATCGCTCAAGTGTTGCGTTGCGGTAACTTAACTAAACAATACTAGAATTAAAATTAATATTTCTTTTTCATTCTTTCCTTATTGTCATCCGAGATTTTGTCCTCCGAGATATTGTCATCCCGATTATTTCGTATAATCGACGCTCTACTGTACTATTTAAATTCCAAATAAATTTCTTAGAAATATTTTTCTTTGCTCTGTACAGTACTGTACATCCACCTAGGTATTTTCTAGGAAATCGAAACGAGCTCCGCGATGTAGGTTTTACTGTTTCGGCTTCACACGTAAACATAAATATGGTGACATGCTTCTGACGTCCTGACTAAAGCAGTTTAAAACACGAAAGTTCCGAGTAGGGCTCCAAGAATCCAGGCTGACTTATGTGCCATTATTAGACCAATGCTCAGCGCGTGGCATACTGAAAGTGCAACGGACAACGTACTGAATTAATTTTTTCATAGGTACTAGCAGCAATGTTCCCTCTTTTTTTTTTCTTTTTGTCGATGAGCGGAACATATACTACTCTGAGCAAAAAAAATTTTTGCCGAGCAGATTCTGAGCATATATATATAAAATCTTATTTTTTCTATAAAAATTAAAATAATTAATTATAAAGTAGAAATTNAAAATCTTATTTTTTCCTATAAAAATTAAAATAATTAATTATAAAGTAGAGATTAAAATTCATTTTAAAACATACTTTTATACAAAATATTATCTCTTGTCAATGATTGAATGTATTTAATTGAAATATAGGTAGCAATAATCATGTTGCAGACAGAGTGAGAAATAAGTAAACAATAATTCAAATCGGTGTGCATGCTCGCTTGCATGGCAACAATTTGAGCAGTGCGCTGCCGCGCAGCTTAGAGGGAACATTGACTGGCAGGTATAGTTATCATCAGAATAATCATAGATTTATAAAACTTCCAGTCCAAAAATTTGTAATACAAAATTAAGTCTGTAATTCTCTGCTCTTGCAAAATGATACAACTGTTATTTTGAATTAATACATGTTACAAAGTTTTTAATAAAATTATCTCCTAACAGAACATCTATATGTTCTCTATGAATCTGCCTCCATTAGAGAAGACTTCATTCTTGCTCTTTTTTTGCATTCTTTCCTCTTAGAATTCATTATGGACATGTTAAAAGTCCATTCAGACTTTCAATGGAAAAATTTAGTAGTGATAACAGAACAAAAGTAGAAATAGAAACTCCAGTACATACAAGTCAGATCTTTCTGAATAATTTTTGAAAATGTGATCTGAGCCCAAAATTAAATTTCTCAGTAACAGATGCATTTACTTATCTTGAAGCAGAAAAGTGCTTGCCTGCTACTCTGTCATCTGATGATTATCTCAATATTTTACTCATTATACATGACTAATCCACAATGAGATTTGCCAATATGAGTTACATTATTCAATTTAAAACATTTATTTACTTTCTACTACAGCAAATTGCCAATTTATTTTATAGAATAATTAGTGATGCTTTTAATCTAAATCTAATTTCATTAATGTCCATTATTAGATATGCATGGTATATATTTTTTTTTGAAGGAACTAACAATTAGAAATTATCTCAAAGATTGTACAGTATATCGTATCAGCTACTAAAATAACCCAATGTACAAAACAAAGCTTTTGTAATTTGTTCAAACTATAATCTATTTTTCTTTATTAATAAATTAATTAATAAGGAATGAAAATGCTTTCTAGTCTAGGTTTTATTTTAATTTTAATGTGTATTGTTTGACCTCTATTATACTATTAACAATTGGCTTTGCAGAAAAAACTGATTTAGTAATTAAATTCCAACAAATATCTAATGTGTCTTCTCTGCTATTACCTTATTTATGATTAACAGTTCATACAGTATCAGTTTTCTCACATTTTATTGATGGATTAAATTAGATATTTCTGCAAGAATTAGTATTCATGAACTACTCAGTTTTAATTTTGCCTCATTAAGGATGAATTTGATCTACACAAGGATTACTCAGCATATATAATTTATGACAATTCAAGACTTAAAATACCTAGAAAGACCTAGAAAAAAATTGCAAGATTTTAGACTGCATTCAAATCTAAATCCCTACAGCAAAAGTAAATAAATACCTAGCAGTTATCTATATAGCTAACTTTAATAAGTGGAAAAAAATTCTGACAGTTTCTAAATCTAACATGAGTTTGGAAGTAAAAAAAATTATATTTAAATACAACTTTTTCAAAACTTTTCAATAAGCATATTAAGGTAAAAGTGATACAGATGGAGTTATATTATGTTTAGACTGAATGTTTGCAACAAACTAACAGAAATGTGCAAGAAAAGCAACTTGTCAGATAAAGTTATAAGAAAGAAAACCTCTATTTTAAACACTGTAAAATCTTAACAAACATAAGTAATGATTAAAAAGTAACCTAAACCTGAATTTTCTGATGCTGAATTCGTTTAAGATTCATATTTAGATTATACACAAAGTCTTCATAATTTGTCCATTTTCAAACCACAGGAATTGGTGAATATGAACAAATTATGAAGACTGTGTATCTTCATATAAATCTTAACCAAAAATAATAATTTGCATGAGAGAAAATAAAGATGTTTTAATTACTCAGCTAAATGAATAACTAATAATAGTAGTATGGTATAACCAACTAACATATTACTAATTATTCCTTTGCATAAGTAATTATGATTCATCAATCAACCTCCAAATTTCTTTAATAGCTGTTTTAAATTGCAATATATATATTAATGAGAAATAAGATCAACATAAAAGATAAATTTTGTTTAAAAATATCAAATATCAATTTAAATAAAGCATGATTGACAATCCTATTTATAACTAATCTAAAACAGCTACAGGAACCTTTGAATATGAATATAATAGTACCAACTAAATAAAAATAAATTATGAAAATTTGCCATTTGTCTTCAAAATACACTATAAAGTCAGTGTTTAACAAGTCAACAATACGAAAAGGACACAGTTTCGTAAAAAATACAAATATAATAATGTATTATTAAATAATCTTAACAATATTTCCCTGAGTGTACAATGATCTCACAAGTCAAAGTAGATGTTATGTAACTTCAACTGTATCTATAATGTTGTTATATTAAATTCATTGTTAATGTAATGTAATGTTATTAATGTAATGTAATTGTAATATAATGTTAGTGTGTTTTAGTCTTTTATCACAAGGCACCAATCAAAACTAAAACAAAACAGAAATATACAATTTTTTAAAAGTTTATTATAAATGAATTTAATTTTATTCATTAAAATCTTTATTATACAAACTGTACATTTTCAACAAAGCACTCTGAAAGAAAACAATATATTTTATTATTATTATATTAACAGATATTTAATGAAAGTAATATAATGTTGATAATTATTATTTACCTGAATAAAACAAAAATTATTGTAAAAAGAAAGACGACAGAGATCTTAATAAATTCTCTATTTTTTGTTTCTGATCTTCAGTCTAAAATGAAATAACAAAATGTATTTAATAATTTTCTTTTTGTATAACTGATTAGTGATATAAATTAATTTGTTCAACATTTTCATCTTTTAAACACAAATTACCTTACTTTACGGCATATAAGATGTAACATAGAGGCAATTTTTTGAGCCTTTTCTGTCTTATGGGAACTCACAACTTCACATGTAAGCCAATGAATTCCCCAAACAGCCTTCAGTAGGCTACAGGTAACCTCTGCCTGGCACAACTCTTGAATAAAATTGTTAATAATATTAATATGCTTAATTAAAAAAGATTATAACTTTTCTAAAATAAGAATACTGTACAATAAAATATAAGAGAGAGTCAAGAAGTAAGTTGCAATTGGCAGAAACTTTTTGTTCATAAAGGATATTTACATGAAATCTGGTGGCAACACTGGTAATACTTCTGGATACAAGGCATAGCAAATTTGTCAACATGGCTGTAGAGGTTAAGTTGTGTAAGGTCAGTTGTGTTAATGTCCCGTCATTTGAATGTAGTGTCCAAATTGGAAGTTCATATAGTAACTCATCTCTTATAGGAAAAAAGGTGTAACCCACTGAATTTCAATGCCAGTTGAGGAAAGTGTATGGTGAGAAAGACTTTTGTGCCAGGTGGTTGCAAATGGTACTTGTTGTTCAAGAATGGGGACATGGACATTGAAGATGATCACTGACAGGGACGCCCATCAACTTCAACAGTGAAGAACAACATTGACCATATTAATGAACTGATTCATGCAAACAGATGAATCACAGTAAATGACATCAAATGAATTACCCATTTTGCATGGAAGGGCACATCATACCTCCAACTGTCTAGTTTCAAAATATTTGTGCTCAATGGATGCCTCACTATTGATAGATGCCCTCAAGGAGCAGCATTTTCAGGCAGCTCTCGTGTTTTTAGACTATTATCACAGGGAAGGACAAAAATTTTTGGACCAAATCATGATCAGAGACAAGATGTGGGTCATCACTTCTAACTTCACCTGATTGAAAATATTTCCTTCCTCCTCCAAAACAGTGTCAAACAGTTCCTTTTGCTGGAAATATGATGCCAACACTTTTCTTTGACAATCAAGGAGTTGTGCATATTGAATTCCTTCCAAAATGGACTAAGATTAATGTCGCTGCATATTGTCAAACCCAGAAGAGGCTGAGAATGGTGATTAAATATTGCCGACCAGAAAAATTGTCAAAAAGCATTGTGCTTTTGCATGACAATGCACTCCTCATTCAGCAGGCTCTGCTGAATGAGGAGTGCATTGGCTTCAGCAGAGCCTTTGTGACACTTTGCAAGTGTCACAAAGGCTCTGCTGAAAAAATTCGAATGGACTGTATGGGAACATCCTCCCTACAGTCCAGACCTTGTATCTTGTGATTTCCACATGTTCAGCCCCATGAGAAACGACTTTTTTGAATTGTCGATACAAATGTGACATCACAAGTGTGACACAAGTACAGTCGACCCCCCTATAACGCGGTAGATACGTTCCGCTTTATAAGAATTTTGCATTGTAGGAATCCTTAAATACGTGAGCCGATCACAGCCCATCACATGTGCAGTTTACGGACTATGACTGTTTGAAAGGTTTTCTTCCATAAAATTAATCAATTCTAGACTAATTTGACTCAACATTTCCAAATTACATATAATTTTTTGGGAATAATCCGTATAAACTATGCTTTAAACAAAAAATTGTAGGATTACTTACCGAGTGTGCACCGTTCGACGACGCCATTGCTTAAGCTTGTTTTCGTCGCGGAGCAGTGCACCAAACGGCGGCCACATTTTCTCATAAGTTATTTTTCTGCGAAAAATTCTTTGAACTTTGGAGACATCATTAATAGAGATAATTTTTATGGCCGTTGAATAAGAAATGTTTTCTTTCACAAGAAATGTATAAAATTACAGTACTGTATTAGACTTACAAATATATATAATTTATATATACAAACCTAATTTATATATAATTAATATATAATTATATATACAGTACCTAATTTATATATAATTTAAATATAATACTGTACAGACGATAGTAAACTCAACTTGCCCGCCTAAAATCTCCGTAGCGTGGCGCTGAACAGCGGAAAGTAGTTCAGCTGCTCGTCTACTATTGCGATGACATTTTACCACATTTTACAAGTCTCTTTTAGCGTCCTTATATGAATACGGTCGCAATTTTTTTGCCACGATGTACGAATCCGCATTATTTGATCCCGCGTTATAGGGGGTCTACTGTATGGTAATCGCATGTTGGATGGGAGTATTTCCAAGAAGGAATAGAAAAACTCATACCATACTACAATAAATGTTTAAATAAACTTGGTGATTAAATTGAAAAGTAGCACTTGGATTGTACATTCATACAAATAAAAAATTTTGACCCATATATTTCATACTTGTATTTTTGGTTTGAGTGCAACTTATTTTTTGACTCTCCATTGTAATTTTAGGGCTGACTGTCAAAGACATGGAATGGCTTAAATACAATAAATACTTCAATATTCTCTGCTGAAATAGAGGTAGAATTTATTGAAATAATTCAGTTACTACGAATTTTAGAAATGCAAATTAAAAATTTTTAGCATGTAGTATTGTACAACCAAATTAAATATAAAAATCAAATTTTTATATTTAATTTGATTGCTTATGAAAAATTAAATATAACTTTGTTATTTGATTTTTGTGAGAGATTATTCTGATCTTAAGCAATATTTTTTTGGTTGATTGGTAATAATTTATTGGTGAAAGAATGCTGTATTTTATGGCATTCTTGCAGCAGACAAAATGCAAGTTTTGTCTGCTGGAGACAGGTTTCTGACGATTGTAGCATATTAGCGGAACATGAAAGAAAACCTAGAGCAAGTTTAGGTAACATAGGGAGTTTCATTCCCGTCTTACCTGCATTTTCTGGTGATGCAACAGGAATTTGAGTGTCCAAATTTTTCAACTCTTTAGCGGATATTGTGAAATTATCTGGATGGACAAAGGTGCAAATGCTTGCTGTAGCAAAGCTGAGACTTACCGGCATAGCAAGAGAATTCATCCAGAAAGATAGGCAAATCAAGAACATCGAAGATTTTGATGAATTTAAGAATAAATTATTAGAGTGATTCGAAAAACTACCTTTCCCCATTAGACTGAATAGGTTCTATGCTTGTGTACAGGGCTCAGATGAAGATGTTCAGACATATGCTGCCTGACTACAAGTGTTGGTGATGGAAATAGAAGTCATGCCGGAACCAGTCGCAAATGCCACGGAAGTCGCTCTAATCCAAAGAATTCAAAATAAGGAACTAGACGTACAATTAAAGGCCCAATTTCTAAACAGGATCAATATATGCATCAGACAATGAACCATGAGCCAAGAACCTGCAACTTTTGACAAAGCCTTAGAAGCTGCAATCAGCGAGGAAACAATTGACGAACTCATTGCACAACCTCGAGGGAGTATTCGAACTATACAATGGGAGCCAGAACCATGGAAATCCTCTGAACACAGAAGGAAAGAGTTCACTGCCGCCTCAGAAGACAATATAGAAAAGTTAGCAGAAGAGATTGACGTCCTTAGCGAAAAATTGGCAAATTTGTAAAGAAAATCGGCCCTTTCTAAAACCGAAGACTGAAATAGGCAGGAGAGATGATGTTGGAATTTCAGATCAACCAAGAGTATCCAACAAATCCACCAATCAGATGCCTCCTACGAAGATGAGGACAAGTGGAAAGGCATCATTTGAACCACCAGGACTCTAGCAAAGCAGAAATCCATCATCTTAGGATATGTGAATAACATTCCAGTTAAATTCACCGTAGATCCAGATGATCCACCGTAGATCTCAGTGACATGTTAGTGTCTAATGAAGTTGCCAATCGATTAAAAAGTAAAGCACTCGTCAAATTCAGATCCTGAAGGAAGATAAACGGTTCAAAAGGAGAACCAATTCAAATGATCAGCATGGCAGTTCCCACTTTCAAATTTCGAGGACACAAGTTTCCCAGAGCATGCAGAATAGTCCAATTGAAAATCACCACTCCTTGTGAGGGAATACTAGGACGGGATTTTATAAAGGAAGAAGGCCTCATTCTCGATTATGCGAATGAACAAATTACGCTACCAAATGGGAAACTAATTCATTTCTGTACAAGTTGTAAACCTCGCCGGAAGCCGAGACGACGAAAACCAATTAAACCTATGAAAGAAGAAGAGACTACAGAAGCAAATGTAATTCGATTCATGCGTCAAGATCCCAGACCTACCCAAAAAAAGGATGCGAAATGAAGTAAGCCAAATAGCCGAGCAACCCATAAAGTGGAAGAAAAAAGGTAAACGAGATCAAGCCCACCAAAAGGATCCAAGAGTCAGGAGAAACCTCCTCCTGAAATGGGGAATATTCAAATCATCTGAGCCTCACCTCTAACCCATTTCCACAAAGAAAGAAAAAGACGGAACTCAGAAAATAAAGCGGAAGTGATGAGGCATCAAAAATATAAAAGACCACAAGTGGAGCAATGAGAGACTACGCCTTCCCCACACCTACAGGAGCAGATGGCGAAAGTGGAGACCCGCCAGACCACTGACATAGAAACCCCCGTCAGTTGCCAAAGCAATCTCTTAACTGAAATTTTAAAATGCATCGATTTTAAGTTTCAATCCAGATTTAAATCGGATCATGTTCCCACAGTCAACTACACCTAGAAGTCATCTAGAGAAGGGACTTGAGATCGGAGAAAATACTGATCTACAATTATAGTCCTCTGCTTAGGATAGCAATAGGGCATTTTTCCCATTTAAATTTGCAAACTAAGAGAGAGAGAGAGAGCAATTAGTTGCGACATTTTGTAACCCAGATATCTCTCACTCCATTAGAGGAAAACTGGGAACGAACTGATTTTTTTTGTGTGAACTAAGGAAATGAACTGTGCGCAGAGAATTTTTAATAGAGACTGTTGTTGATTCAACAAGCACAACACAATCTACTTGCATTGAACCACTAACCTACATCGAATGACTTTGAACTGGTGTTGAATTTCTGAACTGTCAACACACTGTAAATCATCAACAAGGAAACTGTGACAGTAGGTCAACAGCCTCAACAACTCATCACCATTGTAAATCGCGTCTGTGGCACAGATAGCACATGTAACGCGTCCACCAATAACTCTTGTTACAAGAAAAGAAAACTTGTTTATTGTTGGGTCAAACCCCATGTCAAAGAGAGAGAGAGAGTAGTATTTTAACTATTAAAATTATACTTTCAAGTATAATTTTAACATGTTCACGGCATCAGTAGATAAACATTTAGGCAGCTGCTGGGCGTTATGACTCGCCCAGCAGTTATGACACAGGTGACTCGTAGTCTATTTTAATAAAGGGCGACATGAGTCAATTATGCTTCGTACTATTAAATTAATATATTCAGGCTTACCATAATATTTTTTTCTCAAACCGGGACAATTTTGAGAAAATACTCGCAACAGAAAATTAGCCTACTAGGATAAGTACTGTACTGTAAGTTCGCCGATTTTGGGAGCAATACGTTAATTGTGCGTCAGGAAAACCTAGGGTCAAACCGTATGTGGGTGGTGGCGGTAGGAGACAGAGATGACAAGTGTCTTACACGAAAACCGTTTATTTTGACATGAAGTTAACTTACATAGTATGAATAACAAAATTTAGCAACGTCGGACGTCGAGTGCTGGAGGGTGCGACGGAGAAGGATGATGTCCCGTTTTCGGATTCACACTCCCTTTCTCCGAGTAGGCGGAGAAGCTTGGACGGACGTGGCTGGTAGGTGCACGGATGACCTGAAGTCTTCTAGGCACGTGTCTCGGGGAGAATCGGCCCCGTGTCCTTGAGATTCGGGGGTTTTATAAGATTTTTCCTGAACCTCACCCTTCTGATTGGTCCCCTTCCTTCTCTCCCTTACCCCGATTGGTCACTCTTTTTGTTTCTAGGCGAAACCCGAGACCAATTCGGATCGGGAAAAGAGAGGTGATGACGGTCCTTTAACGTTCGTGCTCGTATTTTACTCCGTTATGTCCCTTTTCTCTGTCATCTTGGAACCCAAACGGTTCACCAGATGTTCTTGTGGTCATTTATCCCCTACCGCGTTCTTACTTAACAGATATCCCTTTTGTTCTTAGACCCCCCTTTTCTCCCGCTTGCTTCGACCCGATATTTGTTCGCGCGCATCTCGACAAAGCTCTCTCTCTCTCTGTCGACATTCCCCCCTGTTACTTATCGTCATGTCGCGTTTGTTTTACAATTCGAGAAAGTTTTCGTCTCATCTGGGCTTTGTCACTAACACATCCCCTTGACCCGATTCTGTCTTCGAAACTTTCTGACGTTCAAGTTTGTAATTAGTCGAAATTTCTACGCGCTTTTACGACCCTCACAGTACCTATGATTGAAAAGGCTAAATAAAGTAGTTGTTAACAAAAACAACAAGTTAAAAGCAATTTTTAATAACTGAACTAAACATACCTTATTATTAATATTTATCCCTAGTGTGAACTTTTTAAAAAATTCTTTGTCGTTTAAATCAGTACTGTACATTTAAAATATGGCAATATATTTGAGGAAGTTCCTATTGCTTGCCTTATGTTTCACACATTTCAATGGTTTTTAATGTTTGATGTCCACCATGAGTTACTGAAAATTATGAAAAGTACAGATCATATTTCACTTCATCAATACGATCACAGAACTTTTTTTCAATAATCAGTAAACACATGGTTTCTTTTTGACATTTTAGAGATTAAATGAATTTAATATACCGCGCATTCTTTCATTCAGCAGTGTGCTGAGCAGTTGCTGCTGGAAATGACATTTTCGCTGGAGAAAGAGCTATCTCAAAATGGCTGATATAAACAACAATTTTCTTTCTGCTATATTTATGTGCATATTAGAAGAAAAGCCATTAAGTTCGATGTTATAAGAAAACAAGGAAATGATGATTTATTTATGGCATTGGTTATGACTGATTCCCAACAACGAAGAAAGCGTGCAAAAATCGTTGGTTACGTTCACAATATCGTACCAGAGTATTCAAATGAAATCTTTAAAAGCCATTTTCGTATGTCACGATTAAAAATCTGCTCATTTAAAAGAGCAAAAAACTGATTATTATTTGGTAGTCAAAAAAGATACTTTCTCATGGAGGCGTCCATCTTGTAAGCATTATTTTTAGCGTAATCGAGAGGTGCTGCTAGTGTGCTGATAGTAGGCTCAATAATTGAACACATGCGCTAAAAGGTCTACAAGCATGCTGAATAAAATAATGCGCAGATACTGTATGATATACTTGCAAATGCCGATCAGCAATTTGAACTTGATTAAGATATGACGTGGCCAGTGTAAGTTTCAGTCTTGCCAACTCTAATTGAAACAAAATGTCTAGATCTCATTGATTATGTGCTATTATAAATTCTGTGAAAAAATATCTGAATGACAAAATAAAACATCTAAATTCATTAGGCCATATGCTATAAATTTTTGAGGAAAACATATAGACAACATTAAAAGTACTTAGATCTAGATACGAAATATTTAGATTGGCAACAGTGAGTGTAACAGAGGGGTAAGTGCCAAATCGCCATTTTACTTGAGGCTGCACTATTTTTATTTCTTGTATATTCGGCACTTTTAAAATTTTACCAAATAACTGGGACAAACTGACCAGGAGCTGGGACATCATCATCAAACCGGGACGTCTGGTAAGCCTAAATATATTTTATTGCACCTAATAAAATAATATTGATATATCAAGTATGATGTTTGTAGAATTATGTTATCAAAACATATGCACCGCCCCATGGAAAAACAAGCAATTATATCTGTAGCCCTAACTAGACATGTCTATATGAGTCACATGTGTCTTGTAACGCCGTGAACATGTTAAAGAAAGCAGCGAATGGTGTGAAATCCGTGAATTTAACACAGTTGTCTGGGAAAAAAATTGTAAACAATTCCGATAGAAAGAATGCTCCTGGTGAAAATTATGTCGAAGGTCACCATTTGTTACCACAATTAGATGGAAAATTTGACACATAGGTGTCAAGAATGCACCATTATTGTCAACATGTGATGATCACAGGACTCCTTTCCCACGACAAGCAAATAAAAGCTCAGCACACATCCGCACACGGAAAGTTATTTTTGTACTTGTGCCAGTCGATCTCCATGATGACAGACTGTGATCCCGTTGGAGAAGACACCGGACAGAAGACACCAAGGACTACTACCCCTTCCATATAGACGATGCGCCAACCCTCCATTACTCTGAGAGGTGTTTAGGGGATATTTTAGAACTTGTAAAATCGTTCTCTCCCTCTAAAGTTAGGCAAGCGACATAGACGAGAATAGTCACCCATTATATGTACATAGTCTATTATAACCACATTTAACCTTAGAATTAATTATCACCTTCTGCAACGTAGATTTAGTTCCTCAATAAATGCTTTGTTTATTTGTTAAACTTGTCTCCCATCTTTGAAAGGATGCCTGCCGGCTTACCAATGCACTCCCCATTCACTTTTTGCCCTCCTAGCCATCCGGAACGACAACATGAGCGGTCCTTGCAGACTGTTGCTGAGTAAGTGGTCAAGAGGGATTAACCCTTGGCCCACAGTTTCTCACATAGTCTTACTTTAATTAATGACAAAGATATAGATTGATTTTCATTTTTATAAACTGTATGGAAAGAGGATTGTCTAGAGATGGGGTTGGCAACCTTTTGGTGGTGTTGTGCTGAACCTAATTTATAGCGACACGGTTCTACTAATTTTGTTATATATACAGTATTATCAAAATTGGTCCAGTTATAATGGACTTCAAAAATATATAATTTTGAAGTCAAGTTGTTAATTGAATTATGTTCTTACATGTGAAGCACATGCACAACATGTAGATGGCAATAGAGCATAAATGTAATATAAATATACAAGCAACAGATTTGTTTTTAATGTGCCACAACCTACACTGAACTATGGCTTCCAATTAAATGTGTAATTAATAATTAAAATATAATTTTTTCTACATTTCTATTCAATCATAGTGCAACTGAAAATTGTCCCACGTGCCATAGGTTGCCGATTCCTGGACTAGAGAGTACTGCATCTTCAGAGGGACATTCAAAAATATTTTAAAATATATTTCAGCCAAAATATTTTAGATGGTTTATAATTAAAATAAATAAAACAAAATAATATCATTAAATAATCACTGAAGGAAATATTCTATATGCTATTTATTGCTATAAACTAATAGAATAGATATTCTGATAATTAAATTTGTATAAATTTTCATTAAAAATTATAAATCTTACCACTTTATTAATGTTTAACAGTTTTGATAATAATTTAAAATGTTCTTCATAATCATATTTCCTAAAATAATGTCCAAGATGGTGTAGAGCCATTTTATATAACAAAGGACAGTATTTTTCTTGAAGAGAGCCTAAATTGTTAAATAAAAAAGTTTATTAAACAATTTATTTTCATTTTTATTATAATATGAAACAATGATACATACCAGATAGCAAATTTTTTGCATACATGGATAATAAATCTTCATCCATTTCAGGAGGATTTAAGTAATTATCAAGGCTAACTAAAATCTAAGAAAAATTTCTTTATTAAATATCATCATTTATTTTCATTTCATAAAAAACAAATAAATAAAAATTTTACAAACTTCTGAAAATGATATTCCTAAAATTTTAAGAATTCCAATATGTTCAGTGAGCAACTGCTTTTTCCAATAACTATCATAACATTGTTGGAGAGGAATTATTATAGTATTTCCAAATAATTTATCACCATAAGAGGAACTCTCAAACTGAATCAGTAACTCAGAATATCTGAAAATATCAATTATTAACCAATTAGTAAATCATAAATTGATAAATAAAACTCACTATATGCTCCAGGGGTGCACAACTTCAGGCTGTATTTGGTAAAAATGCTTTTAAACAGACCATCATACTATAGCTAAATTGTACTCATGAGATTGAACAAATGTGTGCACACAAATCCAACAATATGAAACTAAGTTAAACTCAAATACATTTAAATAATAATAAAAGATAATTCTAAAAACTGTCTATTGGTGTTACGAGTAAATACATTTAATTGATGAGTACTTTCAACAGTATATAATATTCTCTTCAGATTACATGGCGGATAGAACATTAGAAATCTAGAGATAGAACACATTTTCAAAATTCTCTTTGAGCATGAGCATGGAACATACTTTTAACACCAATAGACAGTTTTTTAGAATTACCTATTCTAAAAAACTGAAGAACATGTAAGTAAACCCATTAACTTAAAAATATTTTTATTAAAATCAGGCAGTGGCTGCATTGAAACATTTAGCAGGGCAATTTGAAAATGTGTTCTATCTCTAGATTTCTAATGTTCTATCTGCCATGTAATCTGAAGAGAATGTTATATACTGTTGAAAGTACTCATCAATTAAAATATCTCACAAGGCACATATGGCCTGCGAGATATTTTATGCACTTCTTGTTCTATATCATAAATGACTATTTCTTGTAGATAATGACACATTGTATTCAATATAATTCTTCAATTTATTGTTTTTCCATTTGCCATCTAGATCAGGGGCATCCAACCTTTTTGTTTCTTTGGGCCACATTGGAAGAAGTCAAGGAGTTTTGGGCCACAAGTATATATTATATATACTTGTGATTAAGGCTTAACTGGAACAACGGCTTCTACTACACTATTTTAGATGCAATTTTTTGTTTTTATCTGCATTGTGGTAGGGTATGCCATGACAATGCATACTAAGAAGGGATTTTTCGAAATTCTCCCGCAGGCGGGAGAGGGAGAGGATTTAGTCTTCATTGAGTACTTAGGTGTATTAAATTAATAACATTTCAGACATTGTTACAAATATTTTTATCTATTTTGATTTTAAAAATGTTCAAATCGTTTTAAATTCGAATTTGTTATTGCATATTGGTTCGCCTAAAGAACAATTGTAAACATTCCAGAAAATTGATCAAATTGAAAATAGTTTGTTTGATTCTCAGCAGTAGGTGTTATATAACAATTACTATGGTTGTTGAAATACTGAATATAAATGGGGTTTGCTTGCAAAATCCCCGTGGGCAAAACCGCGGGTAACAGCTACCGTGTTTCCCCAAAAATAAGACATCCTCTGAAAATAAGACCTACCATAGGTTTAGCTGAATTGCTAAATATAAGGCCTCCCCCCCCCCCGAAAGTAAGACCTAGCAAAGTTTTTTTTTACTCATAACGGTCATCGACAGATGGTTGAAAGTGGCCGTTGGCTTTTTGAAAGTACAGACACTGATTGATCAGCAGACAATCATGCCACACAGCATGATTTGCATAAAACTATGGCTTGGGAATCACAGATTTGCATAACAATATGGCTGGTGATGGCTAATTGGTCGGCCGGGAATCAAGCCACATGACATTTGCATAGTACTACGGTTCAGTAAGCACTAATTGGTCATCGAGCCTGATGTCAGCACTATAAAAAAGTTAAGTTGACTCCAACACAGAGACTTCGTAAGTTCAGTTCGACACGACCGGATATACGTCACACTCGTCTAACAAGTTCGACTTGGGAATTTTTTTGTTCAATAATAAATGTGAATTCTTCTTCATGGAAAAAATAAGACATTCCCTGAAAATAAGACCTAGCGCATCTTTCAGAGCAAAAATTAATATAAGACACTGTCTTATTTTCGAGGAAACACGGTAGTATAATATATACTTGTGGCCCAATATGCAAGTATATTAAAGGATTAACATGTCTAGATTATAATAATAAGTATTAAATCTTTATCACGAAAAAGGATATTTTAAAAAATTACTTCTACAGATGCTTTTTACTTAGAAATAGACAAATTCATTTACCAGTGGCGTGCCGTCATTAGAAGCGGTGGAAGCACCGCTTCTAATGACTTCTTTTTTTATAAAATATATACATATTAATAAAAAAAAATAAAAATAAATACATATTAATTTTAATTATATGAAAATAATCACACAATATTTTATTATAACCACATTATGTATCTTATTACAAATTTCTATACTACACGTGAGAAAAAGATAAGATCGCTATTGTATATTTGAATATTGGTGGCAGAGTAGCGGAGTGGAAACGCTGTATCGTCAGATTCCAAAAAGCCAGATTCGCACACGCGCTTTACAAAGCACCAACCTCACCCGGTTTAGCCGGTGGAAGCCTACGACCTTGGGTTAATGCTACACATTCCAACACTTCCAATTCTATCCAGGACTGGTTCTGGGCTGTTAGCTGCACGCCCGCTAGATATTTGGCCGATTACATGAATAACGAGTAACGAGTAGATTTATAACTTAACCCAACCGATAAGAATTTACTGGTATGTTTTTATGATAGTTCTGTGTAGTTGACAGGAGTTAAAAAAATCCATTAAAATATACAGTATGATATTTTTATTCCACTCTCTGATTTTATATTACTCGGGGATTTCAATGTTAAACTGGTGATATTATGATTTTGTACATCCCATCTCTAAAGGGATGTAGAAAAAACGTGTACAATTCTTGTGCAATGTTAAAAAATTAACCGTTACTTCAACAGCATCATTTACAACTGAATTTAATGAATGAGAGAGATGCACCAGGTACAGAAAAAGCTCTAGAATTTATTTTCCTTAAATTTATGATTTATGTATCCATTTATCATAAAAATTTGTCTTTCCACTTTTTTCTCGAGACTACAAATATTTGAGTACAAAGTAACCAGTTTTGTCTTATTTCTACTTAAGTAGTAGTTAAATAATTAATCGATTAGGGAATTGGGAACAAAACAAAACCCTGACGAAAGAGCCAGAATATTACTTAAACAAAAGCTTAACTGAACCAATCTATAGCTGAGTACAGTGGGGACTGATTTCTTCGAAATACTGTATTAGATGTAATAAAGACCAAAATTTTTCCAGTTCAATGAGAGTGACCGAAAAGTTGTAAATTTTGGAAATTTCCATGGACAACACCTGGTCCTAAAACGAATTACAGGTAGGCCTCCTACAACGTGGTAGATAAGTTCCTTGAAAATACAGCATTGTGGGAAATTGTGTTATAGCAGACACTAACTTAATACAAAAACTGGGATTCAGTTCTAAAAAGAGAAAAACTTGGCGTTTGAATGACGTTTCAAACCAGCCATTGGTAGCCACGAATTTAACACTGGTTTCATCAGCTGACCAGTGGCGTAGCATAGTGGGGACGGCAAGGGCGGCACTTTTAGGGGGCGGCAAAATTTCACAATAAATAATAATAATATCTTGTAAAAATTTGAACCATTTCATTTCATATTTTTGTCGCACCTACGATTTGGATCGATTGAAATGAGCACGGAATTGTTCATTATTTATTCTGTGACGAAACTGAATTTTAGTCTTTTGAATTGAGATACCTAAATAAGGGGGCAGCGAAAATTTCCTCCGTCCCGTGCGGCTGACACCCACGCTACGCCACTGCAGCTGACGACTGTCCCATTTGTTTTAAATAATCAAATATTTTTAAGGCTTTGTGTTTAAGTGCAGTTTTATTTAAAGGCAACCGTTTCTTGTTCATATCTTCTACCCATAATATTAGCACTTGTTCCATTTTTTACATTATAGGTACTCTCGGATTAGCAACATTTTTTGCAAGAATAGATGATCCGGATGCAACCAAATTTCTAATCTTTTCTCCTGATTGCTTAATCAACTGAATAGTCGACTCATTTAAATTAAAATGCCTACTAATATCAGCTATCCGCTCTTGATTTTTAATTTGATCCAAAATTTCTATCTTTGAAGAGTTATAAATTTCCTTTTTAACGACGGTCTTTTCTTTTCATTCGGCATTGTTATGGCTAAAATTTTTTCAATCAGTTTTGTGGACAGTAAAAATCGCAAAAAAATAACTTTTCTTCACTATGTTGTTAAAAAATATACACCCAATAGAAGTTTATACTGTATTTTGGACCATATTTCCTGTCCCCACGTATTGAAACAGTATAAATGATGGAAAATTTAGTGATATATTTGAGTGTTTACGGTAACTGATGCACATCTGTCTAGAAACCGGTCTTCCCCTGAAACTTTCAAGGGAATAAATAACACGCCAACGTCGATAAACAGCTGTTTTCAAAGACTTTTAGATCTTTATACCGAACTGCGGCTCATATCACGTGATCCGTTGTGTTATGTGAAAGATAATTTGTTTCTAAATACCGTAAACCGCATTGCAAAAGTACCGCGTTGTAAGAAAATTACCGCATGTTTTCAACCACGTTGGACCGAAAACGCATTGTAGGAGGCCTACCTGTAGTTAGAAAACAAAAGACGGACAATCTATTAAGTTTAACAAATTTATATTTTTACAACTATGATGAGAAACGTTTAAAATTTACAACAACCCTGTCGCGTCCTTTGATATATACTAGTGATACAACAAAAGAGGCATTTGACGTTAACCGGTATGGGCACCCTCGGGATTTGGCACGCATGCATGCACCGCACACCTACCAAGATCGTCTCCGATTCCATCCACGAGTCACTGCTAGGGAGCACTTTTAACTAAGTGGATTGTTTTAATATTTAAAAAGTAAAGAATATCTTATGCTATTTTTATGTACCGTTTCTTCACAAAACTATATTCATACAATTGAATATTTTGTACCAGGTATGTATAATTGTATATCGATCACACATTTTATTTTAACAAGTAAGTTTTTATAATTTTATTTTTAATTTTAGCCCTTATATTATAGCTAGCAATTTAGAATGTAATTGTGATATCGAAAATTTATTTCAAAAAGTTTTGGCTCGAGACCATATAATGAAAAAGAAAAAATTTGTTCGACATTTTCATGATAAAATTTATGAAGATATAAAATGGCTTTGTGGATGCATAAAAATGCAAAATTTGTTTTGTTGGCCTTGCCTACTATTTTCAAATAAAATTAGTGTGTAGAATGAGATTGGCTTTGACGATTTAAATAATTTGAGTAAAGCTGGCAAAAGACACGAAAATCCTAAATCTTGCATCAAATCTTTCATAAAATTGAAGCAATTTGGAAATCAAAATAGAATGGAATTTAACATTAGTACACAATATAAAATAAATATTGAAAATTATAACAAGATAGTTACAGCTAATAGATATGTTATATTTTAATTAGTAGATGTTATCGAAGGGAGAATTGGCATTTAGAGGGTGTAGAGAATCTATTAAATCTAATATAACAGAGTTAATTAATTGAACTTGCTTATTTATTAAGTGCGTTAGATAATCTATTAATTAAAAATACATTTACAGAAGTCTACGTTTTTACTGGCTTATCGAACAAACGAATACATATTTGTCACTGACTGATTGCCCCTGGAAGTCGGCTTGTTACAAAAACACAGCTTCCCTATCATCAAATGTCACGGCATACCCCTGTCATTTACTATAAAAAAGACAGACAAAAATTTATTTGAAAAACACAAATATTTGTTTTATTTGGATCTCTAATTAATAAAAAGCGACGAAACACCATTTTAAAGTGCATTTTTATTCAACTAATATATAAATAATATGTAGCCCAAGAAGTAGCCAAAGCGCCAAATGATATTTTTTATGTTAAACCAAAAAAAGTAGCCACATTTGGCACAAATGTAGCCAAATCTTGCAACGTTGGAAGAAATACTAAATAAAGCTGGAGTTGTGACTCAAAGGATTATAGACCAAATGCGGGGAAGAAGACAAAAGACAAAAGATAAAAAAGTGAGAAAGGTTGGAAAATTAAGGGTCAATATTTGCATAACAGAAGATCTATTTAACCTTTCTCACTACTTTTTATCTTTTGTCCTTTCTCACCTTTCCCTCGTTTTCCCAAATTTGGGTCTATAATTCTTTGAGTCACAACTCCAGCTTTATTTAGTAATACTTCCTCATTCACACATCTCCAAGTATTTGAAAATATTTCCTTTCCACTCAAAAATAAAATATGAATAAAGATCAAGATGACATCATGATGCCTTACCTTGTAAACAGTTATGAATATTTTTTGACCAAGTTATATTTATGAATCCAGTCTTCTCCTTTTATTTAAATACCATAATTTCATTGTTGCAATTTTAGTCATAAGGAATATTTTATATATTTTAAAAAGAGAAATTTTTTACCACAGTTATTTGTACTATTTCTTTAATGAGTAAGAACTATCTTAACTAACACCTGAAGTGTGGCCAGGTAGCATCTAGCCACTACCATCAACTACTACTCTTTACGCAATAAGCATGCCTCTTGCCTCCAGCAGTGTGACCAAAACCTAACAGCAACATTGAAGTTATGTTTTATCAAATAGACAACATTAATGTTACTTAATTTGTCAACCTAATAACAAAATAATTATTATTATTTTTTTAATTTGATAAAAATTATTCATTATTAATGTAAAACAATCAACAAATATACATTTGATAAAATCTGCATTTTTAAAATTAATTTAATATACAGATAAATTATATTAATTAATAACAAACCAAATACTTACAAATCTGAAAAAGAACCAATTCCTGGACAATTCAGTTTTTCCAACTTCCAATTTTTTTTATGGTTATTTTTTAATAATTGATGTAGACATGCACAATAATATTTCTGAATTTCACAATCAAAAAATATGTCATTATCTAGAAAATTATGAAAAAGCATAAATGTAAAATAAAAAGGATTAAATTTAGTTAAAATGACAAAATTTAGAGTATTTTAATATTTAATAAAAATATGTAAACACTACAGAATAATTCTTATGTTAATGTCAATTATTATTATTTAATGATAATGTTCTTAATTAGAAAAAAATTACAAATTTATTACATTTTATAAAATTAAAATTAAATTTTTATTAAAACAATCGTTAAAATTGTTAAACAATTAAAACAATTACTATATTATTATTAATAATAATCATTAATTTAATTAAGCATTAAAAGATTACCAGATTATACAATATTTAAATCAATAACTTAACTTAGATTTGTTTAATCAATAATCAATCTGCTAATATTACAGATAGCCATGTTGTTATCTAATCATAATGCAGCAATCTGTTAAATAATTTTACAGGAAAAATAATAATTTAGCTAAATTATGATACAGCAATTCTTACCTAGCAGTTATATTACTCAAACATTTTAAGTCAATCTTTCAAACTTAGCTATATTTGAATCCCATTTGGACTAAAACATATTTTTTCCATCTAAATCTTGGTTTCTTTCTTTGGATAGGCATAATAATATTAAACCTAAACTCAGCAAATGTAGTTAGTCCACTGGTCAGGCATAAATCCGTAACCAACTACCAATGTTCAGTGGTTTTATTCACTCAGCCATTGATGAGCTCAATTACAGATTTGATTACTAATTGTGGAATCTGTTTCATTGATAGAAGAGTTACAAGTAATGCACAATCAGGCAAAATGAGCATCATGTTCACTCATAAAAGCATGCAAAGAACACTGTGACACCTTTTACACTTGAAATTCATTAGAAAATGTGTAAGTTAATATGCACAGGAAGGGAAGAGCAACAACTAAATTTTGAAGTAAATTTTTCCAAAAGCAAAATCACATATTCAGGCAATATGTGTACCAAATTTGATTACAATTTGTCCAATAGTTCTTTCTACAGAAAGATGTGAACACTTACTCATTAATTATGATTACCATATATCTTCTATATACAGTGGGTGATCAGTTAAAGAACAGATCAGATAACAAACACTTTCGCGAAAGATTTTTATGATCGGACAATGAACACATGATCGGATAATGAACACTTCACTGAACAAACATAAAAAGAAGCAACGGAAATAGCAAATACCAATTGATTTTCTTTTGTCTTCAGGTAACTTTTTGGAGTGCGGGAGACGTCACCATCAACGCTCAACCCGATATATACTGATCAGATAGTATCCCTCGAATTTTGAAATACTCCCTTGTAATTCCAGCCTTTTATTTTTCTGACAAACAATTCTTTTATAGTATTCGCAAGACTGTCGGGCAGGCACTCATTAAGTTTTGTGTCGGTATTTATTTTCAAAAGGTGAGAGTATAATAGCAAAGGTAGAGAGTGGGCAGAAGATGTCTGATGTTGTTGGACAGTATGGCTTGAACAAATCTAAAGTAGGGCACAGTTCAATCTTATCTAAGAAAAATACTGTATAATTAAGAAAACTCAAGCAGAAAAGGAGTAACAAATATCACATCTGAGAAATAAAGAACATTGAAGAGCTCATAATGGAACCTGAAACAAATCTGATGACAGAAGAATGCCAAGAACTCTTGAATGAAGAACACCAAGAAACTTGGTGAGATACGTTTCATTATGAAAAAGAAGATTAATGCCGATATCTGCTATTAATTAAAGATCAATTGAAGAAGTGGGGGATGTCAGATCAACGGTCTTAGAATGACATACAAACCAGGTTCAGGTTAATAAGCTTGGGGATCTCTACAATTACAATGCTATTAATTCTGAAAATCCTGAAGAGAGAAAAGCAATTGATATTAGACAGATTATTTAATCCCCACAAATAAAAAAACATGAGTAATAAAAATTCAAGTCTGTATATATATATGTATTTTTATTATTACATATAAATAAATGTAGTAAGAAAGTATATATTTTTATTTTTGGGGTCTCCAGAATGAATTAATCAAATTCCCATATAAACCTATGGTAAATTGATAATCGGTTAACGAACAATTAGGATAGCGAACAAAGTCTTGGAATGGATTATGTTCGTTAACCAATCACCCACTGTATTTAAAAGTCAAGATATATATATATGCTTGTTAGGCAAAGGGCTTTATACCATTCAACATATCTTCAGCAAATTTGGCATGAATATTCTTTGAAAATCCAGAAAGAATACAGTGGTGTTCTACCCCCAAACACCCCTAAATACCATTCCTATTTAACTTTAGCCTAGGCATCTTTTTTGTACTTGCAGTTTCATTATTGTAAATACTCAGGTCAATAAATGTACATTACATTTTATTTACTAAGTTTGTTTTATCACCCTCTCCCAACCCAACTTCACCAATCGCCCACATTCTCAAAAGCCAAAGTAACAGAACACATGGCAGCAAGTGTATATAATTTTCCAGTGTCATAAAATTAATTTTTTCAGCTAAAGATTATTATGTTACTAATTTAACTATATTCTATTATTTTTCTCCTCTGAGTACTAATTAATTTTATGTAAGTATACTTTATTATAAGATAAATTTCTTTTATGTTATGTATTTAAATACTAGTATATCACTGCAGTTAAAATATTTGTTAAAATAATCTAAAATTATAAAATTCTAAAACATTCTAAAACTATATTTTAATATGATTTTAGAATGTCTTAATTATAATTTAGAAATGCTTCTAAAAATAATGTTAGATTATTTGAAGAAACAGAATACTTGAAATAATAAATCAATTTTCTACAACAGGGATTTATATACAGTAGGGTCATATTTTATATATATATATATATATATATACATACATATGGATGGCAAATGGTTAGGTTAACCCATTCTTAATGCTACTGAATCTGATTCTTAAGTCAGCAAACTGTTATTCTCCAGCTTCTGATGTTCCTAACATAAAGTACCACTGAATACTACTCACTGTAGTGAATACCTTGATTTGAATGTATTTTTCTCTAGTAGTGTACTCAATATAGTATAATAAAAAGTTTGATCTGTACATTCAGAAACATCAGACTAAAATGTTATTCATTATAGTGAAAACATAAACAAGATAATATGAATGTATTTTTTAATGTTTTTCTTTTAACTGTAAATGGTTGAATAAGTGTCTAGGCAATTGTACTGAACTAATTGAGATGGAGCTCAAACTTATAATTTTGTTTTATATGCAATAATTGTTGACATAACTTTTAGGTAAAACAAGAACATACTGTAAATAACTTCTATTTGAATTACTAAGAATTGAAAAATTGCAAATTGTAAAAATTGAAAATGTAAAAAATATAAAATTAAAATTATATATATAGATCAAACAGTAGGAATTTATGGAATATTTTATGCTATAATTCTATTAAATTCAGGGATGGAGAGTTGGAGTTGGAAGTCAAGAACTTGAAAGTCAGAAAACTTAATTTCTGACTCCTCTTGAACATGATGAAAATTTTTTTAAAGCCATTAATGCTGTTATTTTGATGTTTTTAAGGTCAAAGTTTGTAAAATACAATTTTAATGTTAAAACTTTTCTAATGAGTAACTGTGTTTTATTTTATTAACTTTAATAAATAAGATATGAATAGTTAAAGTCAAAAGTATAACCTTAAATATGGGTTTGAGATTAAACCTTAGATGAGAGATTCCAGACTTCAGAAAAACTAAAAATTTTTTTCAGTTTGTAAACATAAATACTATTTACGATTTTTTAAAAATTTAAATCCAAACATTCTTCTTAAATGTTATATTTTTGTATATAATAAATAAAAATACTATTTTTGTTGAAAAGTTTATTATAACCTATTTCATTTCTATTAAACAAACCACTAACTTACTAGTACATTAGTGAAAAGAATCAAGAGTCAGAGTTGATTTAAAAAATACCAACTTAGAGTCAGGAGTCATGTATTTTTCCAACTCCCCATCCCTGATTAAATTATTGAATTTATAACAAGACTTACTTATTTTAGCTCTAATCATTACCTTTGTTTAAAAAACAAAAAAAAGGAAGGTTGTCTATCTTTAGTGTCAAATTATTTAATAATTTAATTGAATTTCACTTTAAATCTCAACTGTGATTTTTCCCTACAAATGTAATTTTACATATACATTATATATTATGTTGCAAATAGTGATTGGATGTCCCTGCAAAACATGAAAAATCTGCACAGAAACGTGTGACATGTGTATCTGTAAGATAAAATGCCTGAATCAGTTGTTCTGATAGCAGTACTGTACAATGTCCTACAGATCCCTGCTGAAGTACTTCTGGAAGTCCTTCTGCAGGGACCTGTATGACATTGTACAGTACTTGGATGTCATATGTGAGCTGTCTGTCCAACTTCCTCAGAGATTCTTGCTCATCCAAAATTAACTGTGTTGTTCATAATGTGTAAATGGAGGATAATGATAACTGTGATAATCACCAAAGATTGGGCTGGTCAAAGAAACTGTTAGAGAACAAAGGGTGCTAAAGTAGATAATGTGACAAAACAGGTCCCCTTGCCAATGCACAATATCCAGAAGTGGCAAGCAAGCATTGAAATCATCACTTGTAATTTGCACATTGCATATTGAAGTTCATCTCAAAGGGTTTCTAAAACAAAGTGCTGCTTATAAGCCATTGATCATCAAAAGTAACAAAGCAGATCATTTCCAGTGGGAAAAAATAGCATAAAAACTGGACTATAAAATAATAGAAACAGGTTATCTGGAGTATTGAATCCAGGACTCCAACTTTTCTGCTCAGCTGAATGTGTTTTGATCTGGTGTTCATACCAAAGTGTGTAGTTCCTATTGTGAAATTTGACAAAGTGCCATGATATGAGACAGATTTTCTTAGTATGGTTTGGGACCAGCAGTTGTGGTCAAAAATAGAAATAACACCAGTGCCTATCAAGTTACTCTGGGGCAATCAGGTACACCCAGCTTTAGCAATTTTTTGGAATAAATGTTTCATAATGCAAACTGCCATATTCTCCAGTTCACACAGTGCTAATATCAAGAAAATAAAGTGCAACAAAAAGTGACCTGCCTATAACACTGATCTGAACACCTGTAGGAAGAATTTGATTGGCAGGGCAGATTCAGGCTAAGCCATTACTGCCCATCCCAGTGGATAATATGGCCAAAACATTAGTGGAAAAATAATAGCAAATTTTAATCATTATATTCCAAAATCAAGAGAGCATATCAAGATAAACAGATAAATAGCATGTGTTTATAAGTGCAAAAAGTGACTCCACAAGTTATTAATGTTGCTGATGACAAAGCTTTTGTTTTGATGTATGTGCCCAATCACTTTTTGCAACAGCATATGTTAAGTACACATAACTAATGTTTTTATTTTTTAATATCTAACACAATCATCATACTTTATTTTAAAAATACAAAATCAATAACTACCTATTAAAAACATAGATGCCAAGTTATAAAACTGAATTCCTGCAGGAATTAGTTTTGCTATGTTAGGTTTCCAGCATTGTAAAAGATGACACCATTGTAAACAATGTTGCACAATAGCAATTGTTTTAGCATTCTGTTTGTAGTTTCTTCAAAAAAGAATTATTATAATTATAATATAAATTATATTGAAATTATATGTTTAGCAAAATAAATTATAATTACTCTGATTTTGTTTCTTTATAGAGTTTTCTAATAGGACTAAATGGCCAATCTCTATCTATAATATGTGATGAAAAAACTTCTATACACAAGGAATTTATTTTCATTCCATTTTCTTCCATTCTATATCTAAATATTATAAATAATTCATTTCAAATGATATGCAATTAACAATTACTAAACTGAAAAATATGAACTAAAAATATAAATTGAAATATATTACCTTGATTTTTCCAAATGATTTTTATCAAAGAAAAAATCAACATAAGTTGAAAGAACTGATGGTAACCTTTGTAGTGTTTTCTCAATTAGTAAAATATGATTTGTTTCAATAATTTCACCAGTTACAGATTTTATAGATATTTTATCATCATTTATTTCCAAAATTTCTAGTTTCTTTTCCAATCCATTTAAATCACTAAAGAAAAATATTTTAATAAATTTCTAATAAATTACAGTATATTAAAAATAATTGTTAATTTTTAATTTTTTTTAATACCTTATAATTATATGAATTTTTATTTCAATGAAAGCTACTAACCTAAGATATTTGGATGAAAAAATAACATAATTCATTAGTTCATTTGATAACCAACCATCATTTACATTAATATGTGGAAGAAGCTTAAAACTTAGATTATAGTAAATTGGATGGCATTCCTGCAAAAAGTAAAATAACATATTATATAATAAGATATTTCATTCTTATTAAATTTCTGCAATTAATTTAATGAGATAACAAACAAAATTCAAGAAATTTGAATCAATCAACTTGTTATTACATCATTTGACAGTTTGTAATTCACAATCTGTATGAGATTCTTATTTAGATTTGCAATAAAGGAGTTTTTTAAACATCCAGATATAAAAGATAACTTTTTTAAAAACTATCAAATAGTAACGTTTCTTTTGTTACAGAGATTGTAATATGCTTACATCTCAGTTGTTACCTTTATATAATCAATGAAATACATTTTACTTTACTGTTTAATAATTTAAACAAAGTAAGTAAATTTCTTCCTTTCAATTTATTGGATTAATATCTGTAATGCTAAGTAAAACATAATTGTCCAACAAGCAATTATTTATCATGACATCATCACAATGCTGGGTTGCAATTTTTTGTCACAGTGTTATTAATTTTTTAGTGGTGTCTTGCCCCTGTACATCATACTTCTCCTGTTGGCATAGAGTCATGCCAGTTATCTATCTAACTCCATTCAGGGGAAAATTTTTGAACTGAAATAACATGACTTCTGATGCAAATCACAAGTTCATAGATCACAAGCTGAGCCTCCTGCCCCCAAGCTTTCCATATCTGGTTTTGACTTTCATCTATCTAACTCTGTTCTCAAGATTAAGGAAGAACAGACAGACAGATGACAGTGGGAATTTATAGGTTTACAAATTTTTCAAATTGTAGCCCAAAAAGAGATTTTAGAATAGCATGTTTAAATTTCTCCTATTTGTTCTTACTTTATATATTGGAATAATATATTGTAAAACTGAATGAAGCCTTATAAAGATGTACTGATTAATTGTATGGTAATCATTAATTATACTAATTGACTACTCCATTGATTAATCATTAAGTGACAATTAATTCTTAAATAATAGGAGTGGTTAATGAATAATTATTCCATTGGACAACATAATTCAATAATTTTTAATTTATAAAGTAATAAATACTAAAAAATGATGTTTAAAGAAACAATAACTTTATTAATAACAATAATTCAGGATAATCATGGCAATATATCCAGCTTTGTTAAAAATCACTAACTTTTTGTTTCTGTGTTTTCAGTCTGAATTTTTATTCAAACTGAAAATGTTCTATTATAATATTAATATACTTTTAGAAATATAATTTTTAAGAAATAAGCTTCAGTTTCATTCAAAACCAATTATCATAACTAATAGATTGATTTTCAGTGCCATCTGCCTATTTTTGAAAAAAATTTTTTGTCTTTAAACAAATAGATTGTTATTATATTACCAATTATTTTGTATTGTTTTGTTAACTATATTGTACTTGAAAGAATGTCTAATGTGATATCTGGAAGTAATTATGACTAAATCAATTTGGTATGTAAATATTAATTTTCATAACATGATTTGATTCTTTTGATTTCTTGCATTAAGAGTCACTTTTATAAACATTTTATATTGTGTGTTAACATAGAGTATGTTAATTTAATATTTACATATGTGAGAGTCTGGAAAGCTAAACCAAAGAGTTTTTGGAGTTATTTAAAATTTGTTTTAATTATTTAACAAAACTATAAAATTTTTAACTAATAAAATTTTTCATTCACTTTCGAAATCAGAGAGAAGAGGGAAGTAGAACTTCATTTCTATGTATTAGTTTCCTGAGGAGAGATTTTTATCTCCCCTGTTGAAGATACATCAGGAGTGCAACTCATTTCATGAATCCTGTCATGGAAACAACAAATTCACTCCTGATTGGGGAAGATTGGAAAAATAAAAAAAGCAAACACCCCAGTTTCAAGGCTCTTGTCCGTTGTTCGCTTGAGATAGCCCGACCATACAAATTCTCACTCCTTCCTGCCTTTACCATAGACGAAAGACAGAAGTCTTGACTGGAACCATTGAATTACTGTTAAGAGGTACTATGCAATATTTTGTTAATTCTCTCTTTTTCAGTAGAGATGTAATTAATCAGATTCGATAGTAGTTTAGAATTTTCTAACTGTATTCTGGATGGCGATGTTAATCTCATTTATTTTGTAATTCCTGTTACATTATGTCATTAAATTTTATTGTTTAGTTAAATGGTTTTGCATGGAACTACTTTAGAAGCCAGCCACTCTATCGATGACTCCACGAACTCTCCCCACTCAAACTATAGACCTCCCATAAGGAATATAATTTGTATCGTGGGCTAAACATGTAAAATTTAGCTGGTATCAAGAATCCTGATAGAAGATAAAGATCCTGCAATCTGTCAGTCTTCTTAACATAAATATAACTTTTAAGCCATCCACAGACAAGTTGAATTGACTTCCCGAGTCAGACTTTGCAGAAAGGTGACTCGAGAGATAATCTCAGCACAGCAGATTCTCACACATATATAACAATATTTATTTATAAAGATTTTTATTATAAGATAACATTATTTCAAAATTGTATATAAAAGATTACTTATATCATAACCATACCATAGTAAATGTTTTCATGATCATTAATACATTTAATAATATGATTATATTAAAAAAGTAAAATAAGATACTTACCATTTTAGCATTTAGCAAAATCACTATTGATAAAAAATTAATTTCATGTCTCCAAAACCATTCAATTCTTTTAAACTTTTTCTTTTCAATTATTTGATGAATATAGTGNAATATAAATCATAACTCATTAGTTGTAAGAAATACATTCAGTCAAAATAATAGTTGTCATGTTTCAAAGTCTTAATTTAACAAAATATTTCAAATATTTTTCTATATTTAAATTTTAATTGGAATAAATATAAATTACTTTAATTCTATTAATTTATCTTCACCAAATTAGTTTTTAAACTCCCAACATTTTTTTTCTTGTAATATTTCTTATTAAGGCTGTAATCAAGTACTGTAGATAAATATGATGATGTTAATATATAAATAATGATAATGAACATTTTTTCTTTGACTGACTGACTTTAAAAAATATCTATAACTTCCACTCAAAAAATAAGAAGCAAAAACATTTATATAATTTCATTTATTAAAACTTGTACCACTTAGAAGTTTCTAAATTAAGAAACAAATTTAGTCATATACATAGAATTATGAAAACTGCCTTATAAAGGAGGATAGAAATACAGACAGTTTTCATACTGGCATTACTTTAATGAATAACTTAATTCATAAAATAAAACTACTTAAAGGACAAAATGATATTTCGTATTATTTATTAACATTGTCATTGCATTGTATTAATTTCAATGTATAACAGCTGATTTTATTTCATACATATACTTTATAAATTCCAATACAAAAATTTCACAATTCTAATTGAAAAAGAGCACATATTGACAACAAAAAGTCAGTCTCACTTTTATCTATGGAATATCAAATTACTTCAATAACTTTAGTCTTAGATATTAATAATTACATAGTTTCTCATAGCTATCATTAATCATCCTGGTTAGGTTAACCCATTCTTAATGCTACTGAATCTGATTCTTAAGTCAGCAAACTGTTATTCTCCAGCTTCTGATGTTCCTAACATAAAGTACCACTGAATACTACTCACTGTAGTGAATACCTTGATTTGAATGTATTTTTCTCTAGTAGTGTACTCAATATAGTATAATAAAAAGTTTGATCTGTACATTCAGAAACATCAGACTAAAATGTTATTCATTATAGTGAAAACATAAACAAGATAATATGAATGTATTTTTTAATGTTTTTCTTTTAACTGTAAATGGTTGAATAAGTGTCTAGGCAATTGTACTGAACTAATTGAGATGGAGCTCAAACTTATAATTTTGTTTTATATGCAATAATTGTTGACATAACTTTTAGGTAAAACAAGAACATACTGTAAATAACTTCTATTTGAATTACTAAGAATTGAAAAATTGCAAATTGTAAAAATTGAAAATGTAAAAAATATAAAANTCATAGCTATCATTAATCATCCAAGATGGTTGCTGTAGAATGTTACTTTACAGATAATGAAAAAATAAATATTTAAATAAGAATAATTTAAATTTTTATTTTCACTTTTGTTCTTACATTGTTATTGCAAAAGCTAAAATAATTCCTGTGATATCTTTGAGAATTATTTCTTTAGGTCACTAGTAAGTTAATATTATCTTTTTATAAAAAAGCGTATTAATGATTAATCAATTACAATCATCAATTGATAAAAATTGAGGCAGCACACACACAATGTATGGTACATATATTATAAAATATCAAATTAATTTGTTATTTGTCACTTAATTGTTTAAATGAAGTTAACACTTGTCCAAACTTATAAATAAATTCAAGAAACTTTGCATTCATTATATATTACTACGATAAAATCATTTGTTTACCATAATAATACAATGATAGCCATATTTTTAATATTTTCTGTGATATTTTATAATAATTCAAGTTTCATCTCTTTCAACAATTTTTCTAAAGCCACCTTTTTTTTTTTTTTAACTTCTGTTGTAAAGCTCCTAAACACATGCTTGTCATTAATAATTCTTCCAGGCTACTACAGCATCATGTCTTTATTCCTAATCAACACTCACAACTAAAAAAACCTCACTTCTTCTTGCTTGAAATGTATAAATCAAAGCATTGTGAAAAATGCCAGTTTAGAACCATATATTATCACAAATTCCAACCTTTACATAACATTTTTACAAATTTCATACAGTTTCTTGTTGTGCTCATCAATGCTGGAAAAAATTAAGTGTCATATCTGGTAATAGCCAACTTTCAAATTTGGATCAATTCATTAGCACTCTATTTGATCAAATACAAATTAATAACTTCTTGGCTGACATTTAATTGTTAAAATTCACTAATGAAGTGCACATATTATGTACCAACAAGTTTCCAACCCTCCATAATAAACAATATTCCCTTTGAAATCATATGTAATTGGTCATAGGTGAATCACTACAGTATATAATTTTGCACAAAGTTTGATATTCTGTTGTATTGTAATAGTTTCATAAAATAAATACATTGTAATGAAACTTAAAAAGGAGACTTGATGCTAATAAGAGAAATTGTAGCATATTTTGGAATCTGTCACTATGCAGTGCAAGAGACAATGAAGAGTTTGGGATATCACAATTTATTCTCAATGATTTCAAACTCTGCAACGATTGGGATCCTCCATACAGCCTAAATATGGCTCCTTCATATCATGATAAAGGAGCAGATGCTAGATTAGTATTACAAAAACTATGAAACAGTCATGCATGCTATATTTTGCTGTGCACAGTCAAAATAGATTTATACCACAAGGAATTTTAGGCAACCAGAATGATGGCAAACACACAGAATAGCAATTTTGTAAAAAAGTACATAGTTATTTTGTAAAAAAAAATGTTTATGCCTTAACATATTTCTGTTAAAGGCACATAAATTACACTGACACATGGTATTTTCTTTTCAGTTCCATTATTTAAAAGTAAAATTAATGTGGCTAAAATCTTCGATACAAACCTCATTGAAGTATTTTTATTTTTTCTAACTTTGATATTTTATATGTTAAATAATAATTTTATTAAAAATTTGACAAATTAAAAAGATAAAAATTCAAATTCTGCATAAATTCTATATTTATATATAATGAAACATTTTTCTTTTTACATATAATAAAACTTACTTTTAAACAATCTGGATAAACACTCCTTATCACATATAGTACATTAACTACTGAAATTAATAATGGAAATGGTGTCCCTTCTTTTAAAAGTGGCACTATTTCAGCTCCCCACATTACTCCACCTAATGATGGTAATTCTAATTCATCTCTCTTACTTCCTGAGCTTTTATCACAGAGAATAATTGAATATTTGCTGTAAACAAAAATATTAAAACATTAAAATTAATTTTAAATTGAAATATAAATCATAACTCATTAGTTGTAAGAAATACATTCAGTCAAAATAATAGTTGTCATGTTTCAAAGTCTTAATTTAACAAAATATTTCAAATATAGTTTTTGAACAAAAATTATATAATACTGTAAAAATCTGAACAAAAAAATTTTTTTAATTTNAGCCTTAATCGAGCCTTATCCAAGGCTCATTAAAATCGCGATAAAATTTTTTCGCGTGGACAAAATTTTGAAAAAATTTGGGGACCTAAAAAACATTCCAAAAATTGAAAAAAAAAAGTTTGTCAAAAGTGGCCTTAACTACTGAATTTCACGTAACGCTATGTAACCTTGACGAGTTATCTCGTCATTGGGCGTTAATAATAAATTTAAATTTTTATATGGTGCCAATCATAATCCTAAAAGACGCAATCCCAAATGTTGAAATTCTGAAAGATTAAAATCTAAAAAATATAATCCTAGGAAAAATATTAATGTGAACAAAGGGTCGGCATCAGACCAGTGATGCCTATGTCAGGATCGGCAATGACGATTCGTTCGTTCACGCACTAGTGGTCAGATTTGAGAGTTTGACATTCTGAGAGATAATGTGGCCGATAGAAGTGCACACTACTACTGAATTAAAAAATAACTGTTTATTTTTTGTATAATATTAAATTATTTACACATACACATAGGATAACTTAAATAGGATAAAGCTATACAGCATAACATTAAGTATTGAAGTTTATGGGTTCCTAACCAAGAGCGAGAGTTTATATTATTACATGTGAGGTTAAATACAGTAGAGCATCGATTATCCGACTCAATTGGGGATTCAGGATGGTCGGATAACTGAAAAATCGGATAACCGAAAAGTATGAAAAAATCCATTATTAGTGTAGTATATTATTATATCCCTTTGTAATTAGTATATTAGTATATCGCTATTAACCAACTTTGCGTTGAATTTTCATCAATGTTAAGCCTAACAAATTTTTTTTTTTTTAAATAATAATCGTTGCTATTGTATCGTTAAAAATTATTTTTAAATTATTTTATTGCTCACAAAACAAACAACCACTCATAATTAGAAAATTAAGTCTGGTTTAAATACTGGCCTCCCTTCAATGGTCAAGCCATGTTGCCAGCTAAAATACACAAAAATTTAACAAAAATAATATTAAAGTAGCCAAGACATAGCCAAATATTGTAGTGCCACATCACTAGCAGACATTTGAAATTTGCCAACTAGAATGGTCAGTTAACCAAAGTGACGGTTAATCGGGGGTCAGATAATCAATGCTCTACTGTAATAACAAGAAATTGTAATATACTGAATGTTCAAAATCACCATTTAGTTTCTAAGTATACTTTTGTTACTTACCTTAAATCTTTAACACATTTTTTAAAATTTCTAGATTTGATAAATGGGACAATATGTTGCTCAACAAAGATTTCAATCGTTTGTAAAATATCTACAGCATTTAAAGTAGACTGAAATAAATGTAATTTTACAAAATAATTATCAAACACAAACATTTTATTAAGTATTTGAATTTTACCTACTTTTATAATTTGTCTGTAGTAATTTGAGATAAAATTTAAACTGCTTCCAATCATAACTGAAGCCAACTATCAGAAAACAAAAGAAAACATATTTATTTTGTATAAATTATTATAATTTCTTTTATAATTGAAACAAGATAAAAGTTATAATACAAATACTTTAAAAAATAAGAAATATCAATCAAAATTTGTAAATAATTTCAGTTGCATATTATCAGATAAAAGTATAAAAGTTATTACCAAAATTTTTTATATGCAAATCTTTAAAGTAATGCAATTATGATGAAACAAAAATTAAAATAAATTTGAAATAAATGAAATATAATTAAAAATTGAAAACTTAAATAATATAAAATTTTTGCAAAGTGTAATATATACAGATTTATTACAGAAATACAAAATACTATTACTATTCATAAATATTTTATAAAATAAAAAAAATTCTATACAAATTAATTACAGTAATAATAATAATAGGGAAAAGTACTTATTAACCATTCTGGTAAATTTCATTTTGAAAATTGCTTCTATATTTCAAAACCATTTAGACTGTTTTGTAAACTATAAATGTTAAAATAAGTGTGATAATATTAATGATGATTTTTAAAATTATCTTTAAGCAAACTAAAAGTTCATAAATTAATATTAAAGATAACAGATATAGAATTAATCTATAAAAAAAACACTATTTTTTTTTTACCTTTTGATTATTAAGCATAACTATAAAACATTAAATTTTAAACTTAAAAATGCCAATAAATTACAATATAACAAAAGTTTTTCCTTNCTGCTGTTCAGCCCTCAACGAGAGGCCATAAGCGTTACTATTGAAAGTTTCAATGAATGCCGCCAAGTCCGGTTTTCTCTTCCAAACAATGAATACATCATCCACGTGTCTAGCGTATAATATAATGTCATCGTTAAAGCCAGGTAAGACTTGTTGTTCGAGGCACCTGACCACCAATTCACATAATGTTCCTGATATGGGGCTACCCATAGGCACCCCTCTAGACTGCAGGAAAGTATCCCCTCAAATATTAATATGAAAAAAGATGAGTGACATATGAGATGTGCCAACTCTAAGATGTCGGAAAGATGTTCTGAAGAGTTGTTGATATTTCGAATGAGAAAATCCCTTAACTCACAAAAACATGGCTCGATGCGGATGGATGGGAACATGGATCCAAAATCACAAACAGTGAAATATATGCCATCTAAGCTGTCAAGTGCATTCAATCTGTGAATCAACTGTACCGGATTGGACACAGTACACGGATATTCCTCGATGGTGCTGGTTACAAAAGAGTTAAGCATTCGTTCTATAAGTATAGTCGGAGATCGCGACTTGTCGACGACCAGACGTAGTTGTTTACTGTCTTTATGGAGTTTGGCGAAAGCGAATAAGCGTGGTGAAATCAGCGTCAAAATAGTTGCCTTAGTTATCTTTAGTACTCTAGCCAATGGGGAGTTGGTCATACGTGCAACCCTTTCTTGAGTCCTTTCCAAAAATCCGCTGGGGGGCCTTAGGGCATTCAGTGTTGCTGATGTATTCATGCAAGCTGTTTCTTTACATATCCCTTTTCATAAGAACAATGCTCCTGGATTTATCTGCCCTTACAGCGACCACATCATTATAACTCATCCATCATCTAGAATTATGTATGGCACTCAATTATGATCACTCATCCTGTGCCTTGTGGTTACAGATATTGAAGAAAACCTTCCATCGGAAGTATTCTTTACGCGTGTTGCTAAGACCTTCCACCATCCTCTCAACATCCGGTATAACCTTAGTTAACTCCACCGGAAGGGAAGCGCCACCAACTTATAGCACGCCACCAACAACCTAAGAGTACGACACTTCAGAATAACCAGTCCTTCGTTCCTATTACTTACAACAAGATCCTTCATAGCATCTACAAACAAATCGCTCGGTATGCTGGTAAAAATATCGCTTACAGAAGATCGCAGACCATTTTCTTCTGTTTACAAAACGATAAGGACCGTCTTGATAGGAACTGTGTTCCGGGAATATATTCTATCCCTATTTACGATCATAGGGTGAATCGTCCGGGCGAATATATTGGGGGCTACCACACGCTGCCTTAAAACAAGGATCAAGGAACACAAGTACTCAATTCAAAAACGCCTTTCCAATACAGCTTTGGCCGCTTTCGTGCTTGATGATGACGTCAGGGTGAAACTTGATAATGCACGTTTAATACAATGGTGTGAACACCAGGCCAGCTTGAAATATCTAGAACAGCTGGAAATTTTTAAAGCGTTCAGAAAGGGAACAGCCATCAATTTCAAGGAAACAGACTCTTTGGCGACGGCGTGGAGAGCGTATTATGACGTATAATGGATGCGCACCATATATGTCTACACTATAATATAAACATCAGATTTTTGAAGCAGGAAAGCAATTACACAAATAATTTTATTAAGGTCCTGCATCAGATATGCGCATAACTGCGATGTTCGTTTTTTTGAAATCTTGGATTCGAACCTGATGATGACCGTTGAAGACGGTAGAAAACGTTCATTTTTGAAATGAATTTATGCTGGTATGTTGGTAATTTCGTGGTTATGTTCCTAATCACAATTTTTGAAAATGACTTGTTTAACACAAGAACACATTTTAACACACTAATTATATATCAATGCTCCAAATATTGATAGATACTCAAAAAGAATAGTTTTGATTTAAGTTAAATTGTTACTATGTTATCACACTAATTAGCTTTGATTTTTTTGGCTCCTTTTTCAGTTCCTGTAGCTGGATTTTGCCCAAAACACTTGAATTATTTTTTGCTTTGTTACTATTGATATGTTTTCCAAATAAAGTAAATTTATTTTATTTTGGAATTCCAACTATATATCAAAAGTAAATGTATAATCTAATTCTAATTTATATCTCCATTTCAATATATTTTCAATCTGGTGTTAGATACTTTTACCATCAACACATCATAGTGCTTTTATTTCAACAGTGTAAAAATTTTTTACAGCCAGTGGACAATATATTACTTCATTTCATTGTTAGACCCAAACTTTGGCCTTCTAAAAACTGAGTAGTCCAAATTAGAGAGAATCATTCAATGAGAAATTCAAACTTACAAGGTAGATGTTTGAGAATTTTTTAGAATAGTTCACTGGTGATTGAGATTATTCACATGCGCTGTCATGAAGGAAAATATATTGCCTTTGTCTTTTGCATGCATTTTTTTCAGAATGTTTACTTCACTGTTGTAAACAGAAAATTTCTGTAGTATTCAGTATTAATCATAGCTTCATGCTCCAAAAAAATGAATACATATCATACATTCATCATGCTAGAACATTGTTGGCTTCATTTTTCCAATTAACTTCTATGAATTGAATTTAATAACACTATTTTATTAAAGAATTTGTATTACAATAAATTAACTACTAAAGTCACTAAGAAAACAAAGAAATTTATTTACATAAGATAATAAGAGATTCCATCTTCAAATTTTAATTATAAATTTAATATCAAATGTATAAATTGTGATGAAATATTTGTTATTATAATAAATTAAAATTATTAATTAACTATTTCCATAACAAAAATTGTAGAAGAGCTCCAAATCCACAAACACAGTCATAAAAAAAATGTTATTAACCTTAAGGATTCAGACTCCCTTATGAATTCACAAAAATAATCAATTAACAAATATTTAATTTAAGATAAAATATTAATTTATTACAACAATAAATATTTGTTCATAACTTAAGTCTTTTGTGTCAAATTTATAATACTGTTATCACAATTGTATGAAGCATTAATAAATTTGAACTGCCTTGAATTTTTTTAGTAGTGGCAACTCTCTCTGTGGCATCATTCAAGCTAGCTTGGTTCATTTTGGTGTACTGTACATCTATAACTAAACATATCAAATTATTTTGTTACCAAATTTGTTACTTTTGTGATTTTAGCAATCAAAATACTACACCAATAGTTTCTTTATTTGGTCTTTTTGATTGAAAGAAAATTAATATTTTTTGACACTCATCTAGTGCTAACTATTATGAAGAGCAAATATTATGGATAATTTTTTCCTACATTTCCAATACAAAGCCATACCTATTGTCTTACAATGACACACAATGAAATATTTTACTCTAGACTTCTTCATTACCCAAAATCTCAGAAGTTACAACTTTTCAACTTCAACATAGGTTCAGACTGACAGACGATAACATCTGCTCCTGTAGAACACCATACATATACACTCACTGCCAAAAGTTAAGCACAGAGCAGAAAATGTTCATGTTTGGAAAGCAATCTGCATTTGAGAGGTTGCAATTCACTGCAGAGGTAGGTCAATCATGATTACGTGTTGCGAAATATGCAAACACACAGTTGTATAAGAAGCCAACCTTCTGAAGTGGGAGAGGAGTTGTATGTAAGTGCCGAGAAAAAGTGTGGAGAACTGTCGTACAATTAGTGTGCATGACTGATGTGTTTCTATGACTTCCAGAGAACGAATGACAGACAGTGAGCGCTGGCGGTGTGTGGGACGCCTTGAAACAGGACAATCAATCACAGATGTTGCTCTTTTCTTTGGTGTTCATCATTCTGTCATTTCACGGTTATGGAAACAATTTCAAACAAGCCAAACAGTTGTCCGAAGACCTGTTGCCGGTTGCCCAAGAGTTACAATCCCTGCAGAAGATTGCTATATTGCTGTTGTAGCCAAGCGGAATCAAAGAGCAACCTCTACACATATGACATTGATGGTTGCTGCAGCTATTGGTAAAATGATATCTGCTACTACTGTGCGCCAAAGGCTACACATGAACGGACTGTATGCCCGGGTACCACGAGTTTGTGTTCCACTATCTGTCCAATCCAAAGGCACATGATTAAAGGGGTGTTGGCAACATGCGAATTGGACTGTGTCTGATTGAGGCAACGTTATGTTCACGGATGAGTCACGATTTTTCCTGGAGCCAGATGACAAATGTGTAAGAGTATTGAGAGAAAAAGGCACATGCAATTGACCCCAGAACATCATCGAGCATCACGCATTCCGAGGTGGAAGCATTATGGTATGGGCAGGCATTTCGTTGGGATATCGCACCGACCTGCACATCTATCGAAGGGGTTCTGTAACTGCTGTCCGGTATCAGATGAAGTCCTCAAACCTATTGTGAAATTGTATGCTGCAGCAGTTGGTCCTGCTTTTGTTTTAATGGATGATAACGCATGACCCCCTAGAGCTGCCTTCGTTGACGACCACCTCAAGAGAGAGGGAATCGCGGATATGGATTGGTCGATGTATTTGCCAGCACTCAATCCCATTGAGAATCTTTGGGATGCCCTCGGTCGTGCTGTGTGTGCACGTTTCCCACCCCCTGACACTCTCACAGAGTTGCAAACTACTCTACAGGAGGAATGAAACTTATTTGACTCTGGAGTGGTTGATCACCTCATGGAAAGCATGGTTACATGCTGTAAACTTTGTGTAAAGATAAGGGGTGACCATTTACCCTATTAATGTGGGTTTTGTTTGTTTGTTTTGGATTTAAACATCATTTTATTAATGATTCCAATATGATTTCATCTTATGCTTTATGAAAATTCAATATTGTTTTCATTTTTCTATGTAATTCTTTGTGTTGTTTCATGCATAAACATATTTGCTACTGTCCTGCCACATTTTGTGTCAATCACAGATGTATTTGTCGATTTTTTTGCAGTTTATTGCTCCGTGCTTAACTTTTGGCAGTGAGTGTATA